CTTCTTTTTTCAAATAATTGCAAATTTTTCCTTACATACATAATATTTTCATATATAAACTGACAAGGCACCGTCAGGATATTTATCGTTTTAAATAGTTCTCTCAGAGATTCGCGACGGGGCAAGTTATATATCGCTCGGATAGCCCGCTTTTGTAGAATAAATATTGATTCTACTTCCGCAGCTCGACCCCACAGCAAAATTCCGTATGACATAATGCTGTGAAAATAGCTAAAATAGACAAGCCTTGCTGTGTTCACGTCTGTGAGCTGTCTTATCTGTCTAACTGCAAAAACAGCAGAGCTTAGTCTCCCCGAAAGCGTCTTTATGTGGGAACCCCATTGAAGTCTATTGTCTAGTGTGATACCTAGAAACACTGTCTCGTTGACAAATTCTAACTTTTGCCCATTTAAAATTATGCTACAATCATTACTGTGTACGTTGGGCAAGCTAAATTTAATACATTTTGTTTTTTTCTCGTTAAGTGCTAAATTATTGACTGTAAACCAATTATGAACTTGATGAATGGAGCTGTTTACTTCGTCAAAATTATTAGAACGTCGACCTATTTTAAAAATTAATGATGTATCATCAGCAAACAGCACCATACTTGGCTCGGTTTTAAATAGAAATGGCAAGTCATTAACATACACTAAAAAGAGAAACGGACCCAATATTGAACCCTGTGGAACGCCCATTCTTATCTCAGAGCCCTGTGAGTTATAACCACCTACATGAACTCTCAGCTGCCTATCCTCTAAATATGATTTTAGTAGACGGAGTGCAGTATGTCTAATCCCGTAATGATCTAATTTCAGCAAGAGTGTTTCATGATCAACGCAATCGAACGCTTTTGAGAGGTCGCAAAAGACACCAACAGCATCCTGTGCTTCCTCCCAAGCACCGAGTACTTCCTTTATCAACGTGACACCGGCGTCAGTTGTACAACGACCTTTAGTGAAACCGTATTGTTGGTGATGGAAGATGGCATGTTTATCAAAGTGATGAAGCATCCGAGATAGCATTAACTTTTCGAACACTTTGCTAAGAACCGGCAGAACAGACACAGGCCTATAGTTGTTTGGTTCCTTAGTGTCACCATTTTTGAATAATGGAATAACTTTACTGTATTTCATTAGGTTTGGGAAGACACCGTCATCTATACTTTTATTGAAAATCAAAACCAGATACGGCGCTAAAGTTCGGATAAGTGATCCGCAGACTTTCACGGATAGTCCCCAAAGGTCCTCAGTTGATTTGACCTTGATTTCTTTAAAAACCTTTATTATCTCTAGAGGACTAGTATAATGAAAACTAAAGTCGCATTCGCATGATTTAACATTTTCTCTAAGCAAAGTTGCCGATAGTCTGGCCGATGATTTTAAATGAGCCGTTGTTTTGACAGGTATATTAGCAAAAAAAGTCTCAAACTCCTGAGCTACATCTGTGCTTGACGAAATCTGTCCCCTCTCTGTGTTTAAACAAAAAGCCGAATGTTTTAATTTATTCCTACCCGTCTCATTCTGTATTATTTTCCACGTAGCCTTTATCTTATCTTCAGCTGATTTTATTTTATTACTGATGAAAAGACGCTTTGCGGTTTTGCATACTATTCTAAATGTCTTTGAGTACAATTTTACATGTTGATGAAAAAGAGGGTCGCAATTGTATGGTTTCATGCCATAAAGTTCAAAAAGTTTATCTCTACTCTTACGAATACCTGCGGTAGCCCAATCGCTAAACTGAAACTTAGCATAGACGTCTTTATATTTCATTGGCAAAATATCTTGAAATTCCCTATTTAACACCGTAAAAAATTTTTCGTATAACCTGCTTGGATTACTTACATCAAAATTTTCTATACTTAATTTAGATGCTAATGAATCATTAAGTTTCTCTAAATTTTTATTTGTTATATGTCTAAACTTTATTTGAATTTTTTGAAGAGGCAAATAAGAGCTGTAAGTAACCACAAGACCACTGTGGTCAGAAGGTAAACTGTTTATAACTTTTTTTTCTAAATAATTGCAGTTACTAAAAATGTTATCAATACATGTGGCTGTGGAGGGTGTTATCCTAGTCGGTTCTAGAAAAACATTTTTTAAATTAAATGATTCAAACAAATTTAATAGCTCCATGCCACTTGTATTGTTCTCCAATAAATTAATATTAAAATCGCCACATACAAGAACTGATTTATGGCTAGAACATACTTTTCTCAAAACATCTTCCATTACAGAATCAAACAATGCAAGTTTCTGATAATTAGGTGGTCTATATACACAAACAACAACATGTCTATCCAGCTCAACACAGGACAACTCAATAGTGTGTTCAACTGACAGTGCTACAATATCTTTCCTTTCTTTGGACTTAATGCCATTTTTAACTAAAATTAAGGACCCGCCGTGTAACATATTCTTTCTACTAAAATTACTTATTACAGTATAATTTTCAAAATTGAAAGATATTAATTGGTCCTCTTTCAACCAATGTTCTGCTAAACAAACTATATCAAATTGTGTTTTCTCAAGAAACATTTCTATTTCAAATATTTTAGAGGAGCAGCCCTGAATATTAATATAAAATAAGATTAAATTGTGCTGCCCCTGAGCCTGTGTAACAACATTAGATATGAGTTTTTTTTTGCCAGAATATACCTTACTCCTAACATTATATATGATGGTATGTTCTGTTGTCTTAAAATCTAGTTTAAATCTGTCACTGTGTTGTTAGGTAGCCTAGACAGCACAGCTTCGTCCCTAAAACTAATATCTGTTATATTTTTTATAACAGAGTTAATATTGAATGCTATTAGCATAGCAAGTGTACTACGGTATGTTTTTGAGAGGGATATTCCTCTCTCTGTCAATCTAAAATCACTAATAAATTTATTAGTGTCAAAAAATATAAGTTTATCACTATGACAACATGTCAATTGGTGCAGTGTACTGTTAAGTACACCTAAATGTCTATTTTTGGAGTCTGTTAAGGTACTTGAATAGGGAAATGCACAAAGTATTATTTTTCCCAATTTTAATTTTAATAAAGTGTCCACACCGTTTAAAATGTCCCTTTTTTTTACATCCAAACTGTTACCTACTATTAAAACTAATATTGATTGCATGATGGTAAGCAATCGGCGCCGCCCATGGACACCCACAACGCCAAAGGAGTTACGAGTGCGTTGCCGGCCTTTTGGGGATAAGGGTGCGGATATTTAAGGATTGGAATGGTTAGGGGTGGGGGAGGGACCAATCCTCACGGCGAAACGCAACGCTGTGGTTGTTTCACGCCGGGTTTCTGTGAGGCCTTGATATCAATCCGGTCGAACGGACCCATTCGTCCCGAAGCTTGGCTCTCCCACACTTGTAATGATGATGATGCAGGGTCGTAGGCGACCCACGTCGCACCCTCATTAGGTACGCCTCTGGAAGCTAAGCAGCGGGTCAAATGTCGCAGGAGAAAAATAGAGAAATTAATAGAGCAAAATATTTCGTGTTTTTTACTACAATTCTTCACTTTACTTCACCTACAGTTTATATTGTACTTACCATAGAATAATGTGACTCTAAATTGAGTCTAGCTCCCTTTGTTAAAGGTAACCACAGAACGAACCTTTCAACCCTACATGTTGACCTTGCTTCTATTCACGGCGACCTTGAAGAAGGGCATTCTGTCTACCCCGTGACTGTCCTTGACAGGTTCTGAATAATCTTGATAATTATGAGCCTGAGTACTGAATACTTGGTTTACTAATTTTGTGAGTAAAATGATGAAAATACTGCTTGGTTTTTATTCACCTGAGAACCGAAAGATTTTTTTTTTTGCATAAAAGAGGTGCAACTATAGTTATGTATCACGGCTCAGGCTTGGATCAGTTGAAGAAGCGGGTTTTTAGTCAGTAAAAGTCTGACATTCCCTCTTGACGCACCCAGCACGAGAGAAGGAATTCGAATCGATTCGAAATTATTTTTTCCCATCAAAAAAGATAAGCGGAGATTTTGTCACTTATGTATTACACCTTATTGTTTAAAACTAAATTCCTGTGCCTGATAATCGAACAATTATTTTGAGTAGGTACTTCTGGTTAATAGTAGTAATACCTAATTATTTTCTAGTTATAATCTACCAACCTAGTTAATATCTGTTGCTAAAAAAAATACCTATGCCTACTACATACTAAACATTTTATCCATTATAGTTCTGAATACTAACAAAAATGTGATTCATCTTTACACATTCCAAGTTCAAGGACACCACTATACCCCGGCGAAGTGACGTCATCACTGTTCGTCATAATATTTGTTTTTTGCGTTGAACATTTTTACATATTTCTTGCTATTTCATAAATGGTGTTTGTTTTGTTTTCTTGAAGGGATCGAGTATATTTATGTAAGATATAGATCTTTTGTTGTCTCGTCAGACGGATACACAATTCATTAGTAAAATGGATACTTAATGGGGTGGTATGAACTAAGATGTAATGTCTGGTTTTATAGTGATATTCAATTCAATCATATTTTTACCTTCTGGCAGTTTGAAGGACTCCCTGATGGTAAGCAATAAAGATATTTTTTCCCGCAACCCCGCCTAACCATCAGCCCATGAAGTATACAAGTGTGTTCGCGCTGTACTAGGAAGGTGAGGGATTGGGAAGGGGAGAGATAGGACTGTGCCTCCATTCTTTATCTGATTCACAAATCACAGTTGTGTCTAAGGCATGCTGTGTCGGCTGCCAGTTCGTGCACTGGTCGCGTCCTAGAGAGTAATGGCCATATAATCCGCGGCTATCGCACGATGTCTGGGGAGGCGACGAACCTTTTTGTCGGTTCAACTTCATGGAACCTGCGCGTGTAGATCGAGTCTGTCACTCCCTCTCGCTATACTTAGGGCTAGAGAAGTCATTCGATAAATTACCTCCTCTAAAAAAAGGTCGTGCTGTGTGTGTACGTTATAAGTGAAACAAGCATAGAATATTCTCATAATTTTATTAGTCTGACACTAAATATTATACAATAAACATTATTAATTTGATCGCATTCCATCGTTAGCCCGTTCATATACGCAATATGAAATCCTTGTAAAATAATATAAATCTATCAGCATGTGGAATATATCAGTATAAAAATATTGTCTTCTATTATTCTCGGTCGCTGAGATCCGCTGTCCACCGGTATTTCTTCATTCTTTTCTATCTGTAAAATACAATAAATAATGCTATTTAATTTCTTATGGGAAATTTAACTCTTATACTAATATAATGACTATTTTGTGGCATGTAGTTTTGTATTACAAATTCGATCCAACTTGCTTTCACATGATATTCATCAAACATCCCTATATTAGAAAAAACACTTGTATGCAACTGGTAATGGTTTCTGAAAGGCTTGTCAACGCTAAAATTAACTAATCTCCTGTTAAATCTCTTGTCAAGTCATCTGATTGGTTGTTGATAATTCAGTCAACCAATCAGATGACTAGACAAGAAATTAAATTGATTTGGGGGAAGACCCATTCGTGCTAAAGCATGGCTCTCCACAGATACCGAATAAATTACAGGATAGAGATAGGCCGCTAAAGTACCATGCCCCTGTTATGTCGAGCAATTCCGAAAACATCAGGTCAGAAGCCACAAGGACGGTACAAATACGGTAACAAAATCACTTATGAATATACTCACGTACAACAAGCGTTAGCTCCCCATACTGGTAGACGCACTCTTGCTCATCAGCTTGGCGACCATCTCCTGGACTCGCTTCATCTCCTCCAGCTGAGTCGTCAGCTGGTACAGTCTATTCTCCCTTTCTAACACTGTCTTCTCTAGTTGTTTTACAGTCTGTAAAAGTGACATGAAACATGCAGATTTTTAATTACATTTTTTATGGTACAGGTCGGCAAACGAGAAAGCGGATTACCTAATGGTAAGCAATCAGCGCCGCCCATGGACACCCGCAACACCAAAAGAGTTACGAGTGCGTTGCCGGTCTTTTAGGGATAAGGGTTTTAAATATTTATATAGAAGGTTTTGTAAGGGATGGGGGAGGAATTGAGCCTTCGGTAACCTCACTCACACGGCGCAACGCTGTGGTAGTTTCACGTCAGTTTTCTGTGAGGCCGTGGTATCGCTCCGGTCGAACCAACCCATTCGTACCGAAGCATGTAATGAATGTATTGAAGCCCTTCCATACTTGAATACATATCGGAATATTGTAATCAGGAAAAGGTCTTTTATCCTGTCTTAGTTGTGTCCAAAACGTGGAAACTACGAAACCGAATTGAATAAAAACTTGTAAATATCTCAAATAAAATATCAAGATCTAGTAGTAATATGTGAATAAAAATATTATACCAGCGTAGCGTAAAAGGAAAACAAAATAAACTTTTGAAACGACAAAATATAATAATAGCATATCAGTCTGTTCCTCAAAGAAGCTAAGCATTCCAAAGTGTAGATTCGAATGAGAAGAAGTCACAAATGATATAATAAAAAAGTAATCATCTATTATCAGATATACACTTTATAATTATACGAATCAACAATTTCTTGGTGAGCTGATAAACTTAAAACTATTATACAACTTGAAACTATTTTGTGAACACAATCTATTTTTATAAATCCAGAATACATATAATGTAAAGAATGGACAACTTTGTATTTTTAGGTTCATTGAATTGATTCCATTTTATGGCGATGTAAAATTTTATTCGTTGGTTTTATATAACCATATTTAAGACATAAGGTCGATAATATTTTTACCCTGATACAGGGACAGATTTTTTGAGTATGGTAAAAATAAAGGGGGTCCTCTTAGTCTAAAACCAAACTAAGATCGGTCACGGGTCAGCAGCCAGGGAGATATGACTCGTGTAACCTTAATGAGAAACCTTTCCCAAATCTACTGACAGACAATAGATAATTATTTATTTAGTTTTATTTTTCGATAGGACGGCAAACGACCCTACGCTTTTCCCAAAATCTCCAAATCCCAAACCTCTAATCCCCAAAAGTTCGGCAACGTACTCGTGACTCCTCCGTTGTTGCAGATGTCCATGGGCGACGCTGATTGCTTACCATTGAATAATACGTATACTCGTTTGCACTCTTATCACATAAAACAAAAGTAGGTACATACCATATCTCTATGTTCAATTTCCTTTCGTAACGCAGCCTCGTTGCTGGCCGCATCTTCTAGTTTCTTGTCTCGCTGCTTGACGCGCTCCTCAAACTTGATCAGAACGCCCGCTAGCTCACTATTTTTACTTGTCTGCAATGAACATATACACACATTATTAAAAATGTTATAAAGAGCAGGCTTACAACCACAGAGTGTAAAATGGGCGGTCTTATCATAGGGTGATTTCTTCCAGATAACCTTTGGATGGATATTTCAAAGGAAGCTGGGAACAGTCTAGTTCACGATATATTGGTAATAAATACTCATAAAATACATATTTATAAAGTTACATATATACATATTATACATTATAATTATATATTATACATATCACGATGATAAATAAAATATTAAATTATTATATACTTAGCGCAAGCACTTATATTATATTATTATTCATATAAGTTTTCGATCGAGTCTTTCGTAACCCTTGACCAAATTATTATTATTTTAAAAGAAAATAAATTAAAACAGAAAACACTATCCATCTGACCTGTTGTTCTAATTTCTTCTGTAGCGCTCTGTATTCAGCTTCAGACGTCTTCAGTCGATCTTCAAATTCTCTCTCACGTAATTTCATTTCAGCCTCCAGAGTCTAAAAAAATAATATATTATTATGAAAACTATAAAACAGGAATTGTTTTATTCATATTTTAATTAGCCACGTTTTTTTTTTCTCGTGGAATCAAATATATTACGAGAAAAAAGTTTATTTTGACGTTGTACACGTACATAAGATTAGCCAAATCGATATTTATTATCATACATACAGCCATTTGCGCGCGGAATTCCTTGTGTAGATTCTCCTTTTGATTCTCTTTGTCAAGTTTCTCGGCGGCCAGTTTCGCGCGAAAACCACGCAACGTCGTTTCCGCGTCTTCTAATTGCTTGTGTAAGTCTTCTATCGTTTTCTTATGCCTAAAATTAATTTACAGACCATAACAGAAAAAAAATCTAATTTTATTTATGAAAAAAAGGTTAAATAACCTTAAAAAGCACGTAAATAAATTAATAATAAAAATTAATCCAAAATAACAGCAAATAAATCTACATAAGATTTTACAAACGTATAAAAATAATCTAATATCATTTTTTAAAAAAGGTAAAATATTGTTAAAAAGCACATAAATAAATATAAAATGATAAAAATTAATCCAAAATAACAGCAAATAAATATAGAAAAGATTTTTTGAAATCACAAAAAGAGAATTGCATCGGCCGGGAATCGAACCCGGGCCGCCCGCGTGGCAGGCGAGCATTCTACCACTGAACCACCGATGCTTATACATAAAAGGCGAAATTAGACCATTAGATTCTACGGGAGTAAAAATTATTACATAAACTATAACCATAGTCATTGAACTATTACGTAATTTCAATTACTATTTACATTCATGCACATAACGCGATGCTTATATTGATACTGATTTGGACGTGTTCAGAGTAATTTAAGCAATTACAAGTAAACACATCATTATTATGATATTGTTACATTCACAATTTAAAATCATCAACACCACTGATTTATTTATAATTTGTAATGTATAAAAAAAGAAAAATAGTTGACTGAAATGTAATGTTAATGTTCCGCAATCGCAATCGTACATACATACATATACAAATTAAATGTGAAATTTGTACGATTTTTACTCGATTAGACTAGGAAATCATGTAGCACAAAAAGTTGCTCATCTTACCTTTCATTTTGCATCTGTGTGGTGTACAGTACATCTTGTTGCGAGGAGTTGGTAGCTTGCAGCATTGCTAGCGAGTGTTGTAGTGATGCCATGTGCTCGCTGGCGCCCTGGTAAATTATAACGCTATATTACAGGTAGTGTTTAAGTGTGGAAAAGCCAAGCTTCGGCACGAATGGGTTGGCTCGACCGGAGTGATACCACAGCCTCACAGAAAACCGGCGTTAAACATGTTTCGCCATGTGAGTGAGGTTGCCGGAGGTCCAATCCCCTCCCCCTCTCCCTTCCCTATCCCTTCCCAATCCTTAACCCTGATCCCCCTAAAGGCCGGCAACGCATTAGTTACTCCTTTGCTGTTGCGAGTGACTTATTGCATGAAAAAAAAAACATCATCGTTCATATTGCAAAATTAGTTCTTGTGCTTGCTGGCGCCCTGGTATAATATAGTATATTGCAGGTCATCACATCGTAATTCATATTTCAATTAGTTCTATGACAAAAATTACAAGTCCACAGGAAAGAATAAAAATGGCATACTGGAAAAAAAATTATGGAGTGAATAATTTCGGTCGCGTTCAAAATGAAAGTTAAATCGTATCTCAGTAATAAAAAAAAACAAATTTTAATATGTACGATGTTATACTTGTTGCCAACATATTAGTTAGATAGACAAGTTACAGTAAATTTTTGAGTCCGGTAGTTTAACAATTAAAAAAACTATGCGAATCCCTACAGAATAACATGCAAAGGAAAGTGTTTCATTTAGTATAATACCTATGTAGCAAACCTCTTTACATACTCTTTGTAGCAGGCCATAAACGCACCTATGGTACGACTGACAAACAGCATGTTGACTGACAGCAACACAGAATTTAATAATTATGTTTTTTCTTATTTTGTTTTCATTTTTGAGTTGCATATATATGCCGTGATTTCCTAATAAAATTGTTCAGATCGTATTACGCTGTCTTACTCAACACGCAACTCCTAAAACTATGTTTAGAACAGTGTATAACGTCAAAAAGATACTGTGAGCTGAAATACCCTAGTCCATTGCAAACCTTGGTTTTTAATTTATCAATAGGAATTAATAATAGTTTACCTGTAATGCTACGGAGTGTGAGTGCAGCCTCTGTTCTAGGCAAGTAGTCATCTTGTAGCCATACAGCTCCATCACGCTCGACGTCGCGATGTCCGATATCTGCAAGTAATCAAGGACAAAGCTAAAATATTAAAAACATCCAAGTAAAAGTCTATCAGAGAAGATGCCTTGGTACAGTCAGAAGATAATGATTGCTATTTATTTATTTTACACTTTATGTACATACAAAAAATACACAAAGGTGGACTTAATTCCCGAAGGCATTCCCTACCAGTCAACCTCAAGGGTGATGCAGAGAAGTGTTAACAATAGGTTTTAAACAAGAACACAGATGATTAAAAAGCATAGGCATATAAGGCAACATATACATATAATACAAAAACATAATATATTATTACAATAAATATAACCTACAAATACACATATAACATATAAATAATATAATTAAATATGGGAAGAATAGATTACGAATAAATACAAGAACAAAAACAACAATACACAAATTAGTGGAATCTGTCAGTTTCTCTAGCAAATAATTGTGTACTTTAAATGTGAAAGATAGCCGACTGGTTGCCCTCCTGATATCCGTGGATAATCCGTTTTATTATAGAACAAATACTATAGACAAGTCGTGTTACCTTTCCATCTCTCAGTTTATCGTTTAGCTTGGCGACGAGTTCATCGACAGCGTGTTCCTGCGCGGGGGCGAGTCGGCCGCACCAGGCGCCCTCGGAGCACCCTGTACCTGAGCCATTCGTTGCCAAGTCGGACGTAGACTCTGATACACCGTGTAGAGACTCACCAAATACCTGTAGCATAGTAACATAATATTGTGAACGTTTTTTTTTTTTATTACATACGGTATGTATAGAAAAAGGGTATAATGTTTTTGTCCTTTTTTTAGGGAGATAATCATCAAATCACTTTTGCAGCCCTTGATGAGGCGTAAGGGAGTGTCAGACTCTTACTGACTAAGGTCTGGGAGAGCCATGTTTCGGCACGAATGGGTCGGCTCGACCGGAGTATTGAGTGAGACAGTAAGAGATAGTGAGACCACCACAGCGCATGTTTTTCGCCGTGTGAGTGAGGTTACCGCATGCCAAATCCTTCCCCTCCCCCATTCCCTAAATCTCCAGATCCCTAATCCCCAAAAGGTCGGCAAACGCGTAACTTTCGTCGTCTTTTCTTGTTGCCTGTGTCCATGGGCGGCGCTGATTGCTTACCATAAGGTAATCCGTCTGCTTGTTTGCCGACCTATACCACATATAAAAACAAATCCAACCCACTCCTGCTCCAGGCCAAGGTCGAGGTACATAGTGGTACTTGTACCCGCAACCCAAAATAACATAATCCTAGTCCTACCTTCACTCCGAAATTGGTTATCCGAAATATTAATCGCATATCCGTAATCGTATCCGGTATAATAATCATTCATGTATCCATATCCGAAATTTAACATCCATAACATCCCTTTTTCACACAGTCTATTTAGCGTATAGTAAAATATTTGCAAAAATTAATTCAATGTTTCAAAAATGCGCAAATTATACCTGATTCATCTGGTCTGAAGGGAAGTAGTGATGTTTGACTAGCTGCAGTATCTGTCTCCGCCTCGGCCCGTTGGTACTTGTTAGCCCGACGCACAGGAGCTTCCTCACCTGTATTCAAATATATTCTTAGTATATAAACAGCAGGAATAAAATAAGTTCATTCTGAATTATATTAAAGTTTATTTTGTTTTGTTTTTATGTGTTGGGTATAAATTTATTTTATTCGTTTGGTATATATGTATTGTGTAACAGTGAACACTACTATTGTATTGGGCAATTCTGTAATAATAGTGTGTATGATTAATAAACAAAAAATTTGAATACAAAACTCAATAAAAATGCATTGAGACCCTATATTATATTTATTGGTATACCAACAGCACGCATACAATTATAAACTATATAATTGTAATAAATAGAACAACCAAAGACCAAATAGGCATGCCTATTACAGGTACACACAGCGTTCATACATAGACGACTTAATTATTTAAGAGAAGAAGAAAAGAGACAGTATGCTAATAATATGATGAAAATAGCATAAAAATACCTATCATTTTTGTACATAAATGATTTCTATTTCTCTCTATGAAAACTAGCCCAATGGTTGATGAGAGCTAGAGAAAAAAAGAGGCTTGTTTTGTAATAAGGCTGTATGTGGTTTACCTGATGGTGGGCGAGCATCCTGGCGAGTGCGGCCTCCCAGTGCGGGTCGAGCGGCGCCAGGCACAGCGCCGTGCGGCACCCCACCACTACAGCCTGCTGGGACGCCTCCGCACCAACTACGCCATTCTACAACGTTTTACAAATATATTTTTACTAGCTATTACCCGCAGCGTCACTCCCGTCATTTGACTACCTACCCTACTCTATGTACCCTACATTACCTACATTACTCTACCTAACCTACACTACCTACTCTATCTTATCCTATGTCCTTCTTCTGGATCTAATCTGAAGTGAATAATATAGAGATGAGACAAGCCAATATTTTGTTTTTTTTTTTCTATTGTAGGTTCTAATACTTATACTATTGTCAGAAAAAGTTACTTAAAAAAGAAAATTTTGAGAAAAGTAAAGGGGTAAAATAGAAAATAGCTACACTTTCGTCATAAGTAAGGTATTTAACGATAACAATGAGTCGCATATTGATGTTTACGCCTATGTCAAGTACCTAAGAGAAAACAAAAAATCATCAAATGACTTCACCCGCTTAGGGTAAGGCGGGAAGTGTCAGACTCTTACTGACTAAAAACACCCTGTTCCTACTCCTGCTTCAGGCCGAGGCCGCGGTGTCTTATTTCGCTTACCCCACAGCCCCGGCTGAACATCAGCCCTATAGGGCCCCGTCTGTGGTAGTCTATTGGCTCTTTAAAGCACGCGCAGACCAAATCGGGTAAATGACCACATTACCTGCGACGTATATTGAAGCACGCTGTATAGAGTATCTTCAAAAGCATCCGGAGTGACCTCTTGTAGCACTCGCTCTTGTGTCTCAACAGACTCGCAAAGAGCTCCGACAACTTGCAGCTGTAATCAGAGATCATAATATTATTGTAAACATTAAATAGTCAATAAGTTATTAGGGTAAGTGGTAGGAAATGTTATTAGCATTAAGTCCCACGATATGCGAAAAAACGTCGCCTCATACTAGGATTTTTCTCCTGTGTTGTGGGTGCGGTTTACAAACATACAATTTCACTTACACAACACATCCAGACCCGGAACAACCATTTGTGGATCACGCAAGGTGTTGTTCCGTGCGAGAATCGAATCGCGACACGTTGCACAGCAGCCAGTTGCCCAGCCACGGCGCCAACCGTGCAGTCAGTGCAGTTATTAATTATGAAAAATCTAGATATTGATAAACTCACCCACTGCACGCCTGCCTTCCCCGGCTCTAAAGAAGGTGGTACTAGTAACCCTGGTAGACCATCATTGATTACTGATATGAGTTCCTGTGGTAGGCGTCCCTCATCTGAAAGATAAATGGAAATAATATATAAAACTTGTAATAGGTATTTAAAAAAAATCTAGAAGAACAGAAAAACAATGTTTCCCTTCACTGTTTGTCAGTGGGGTCTAAATTAAGTTACGAGAAACATTGAAAAAGTCGTACTGGATTTAAAAAAAAACGTTGCCCCACCAAAACATTTTCTCCTGTGTCGTGGGTGCGTTTACAAACATATTATTTCTCATACACATCACACCCAGACACAGAACCACTATTTGTAGGTCACATTCCGTGCGGGAATCGAACCCGTGACACGTTGTGCGGCAGCCAGTGGCCCAGCCACCGCAACGTGCAGTCAAACCCGTTTGCCAAGTTATGCCGCGAAGCGGGCACGTTTACCTCTAGGCCACCATGATATGGCATAGTGTTATAATACTGTTAGTACCTATAAATATGTATATGTTTTTAACACACTTCCTCATAAAGTGGCTCTTATCCCATGGCAATTGGGTGGTTTCCTAGGTCAAAAATAAATTATTTCGACGTTTCAATACAATAAAATAATGAAAAATAACTATACTTTTATCCATCGATCGAGCGATCGATACACCAAATTTTAGACATTTTTAGCAAATTTTTAAGAAATAAGTAAGCTGTTTGACTCATAAATACTATGACATCTTAACTAAGTATTACATACAAATTTCATAGAAAAGTATCGTTTTTGACATTTGGATAAAAGTATTATATTTCACTAGTTGGAAACTACAATATTAGGCACGTAATGACACCTATTATCAAACTGTGACTTTTTCATTACTATTATTCACTAGTGAGTAATAGTTTTTTTTTTAATTATTGGTTGTGTTACGCTTACACTAAAATGATATCTGTGATATTTAGTCTACCTATAGCCGATGCGCGCTCAGAAAAACTGATTAAATTTTCTCGCCATTACGAAACGTACAAAATTCGACTCGTTTTCTCTTTTGAAATTTTTAATTTAAGAATTATTTTATCAGAAGTGTGTTAAATACCGTCGTATGATACACGTTTGTATTGATGACTACCGTTCTCGGCTCCTAAGACCCTCGTCTGACGTCTCGGGCCTGTATGCGCCTCAGCGGTAATTACCAACATTACACACTGGGCAAACGAGCAGACCGATTACCTGATGGTAAGCAATCAGCGCTGCCCATGGACACTCGCAACAGAAGTTACGAGTGCGTTGCCGACCTTTTAGGGATTAGGGTTTTGGAGATTAAGGGATTGGTGGAGAGAAAAGATTGGGCCTCCGGTAACCTCACTCACACGGCGAAACACAGCGCTGTGGTTATTTCACGCCGGTTTTCTGTGAGGCCGTGGTATCACTACGGTCGAGACGACCCATTCGTGCCGAATTTTGGCTGTCCCACACTTAGCTTGTACTATTGTTAGTATTTACCTCTATATTGCGATACGATAGCAGCAAACAGCTCAAGAGACTCCGGCAAGCAGCTGCGACTGGCTTTCATACACAAACACACTAGAGCACTGTGGTGACATCGCAGGGAGTACAGATCTGAAACAGCAATACAAACAAATTGAGAATACGATAAGTACTAATTATTTTTTTCATGGTATTGGTCGGCAAACGAGCAAACGGATTACCCGATCATAAGCAATGAAATACCCGCAAAGGAGTAACGAGTGCGTTGCCGGCCTTTTAGGAATAAGGGTTTTGGATGTTTAAGGATTGGGAAGGGATGGGGGAGGTTGGCCTTACGGTAACCTCACTCACACAGCTAAACACAATGCTGTGATGGTTTCACACCGTTTTCTATGAGGCCGTGGTATCATTCCGGTCGAGCCGACCCATTCGTGCCAAAGCTTGCCAAAGCAAACATTAAGGTTATCTGAGGAATAAAATTGTGCTGTCACTGTCATATACAAAAATTCTAACGCGACAGCATCATAATTATTCCCCAGATAACTTGTATCTTGCATTTCAAAAATCAGCCCTTAATGTAATATAATACATACCCAAGCTAACTAGAACAGTCAGGAATTTCATAACATTGCGGAGACAATTCACAGTATTCTCTGGCTCGCCCATATCATCTGGTGCTGCTTGGCATAAATTTTGAACATCCTGGAATAAATATATATCCTTAGTTCAGTATATTCATTAAAATAGCTTCCGTCTGCGGCTTCGCCCGCGTGTCATATTAATAATCAAATCAGTCCAACCGTTTTTACCATTGTGTAGCTGGATTTTGAGTTAAAATTATTAACTACAAAAATCTGGGTGTATATGTGCTTAACTATATATATATTATGTAAGCTAAACGAGAAAATGCTTCTTACCTTAAGAGCTTCTTCAAGCGCGTTTACAAAGTGTGGGTAGGTGAGCACATAACTTCTCAAGTTGCTGTCTGAACACAGATCATTGATAAACGTGTACGCGTGTAGTAGTTGAGTCGCGTCGCCTTCACTGAAACATTATATAATATAACATAATAATATTATATTTAAAATTGATGCCTGCATTTTATTATAAAACTAGCTTTTGCCCGCGTGGAATAGTGACTTCCTGCAGATTTTTGGTTTAAATATAGCCCTTTCTCGGGTTCAGTAGTTTAGGCGTAAAAAATAAGACAGACAGCCAAACAGACAGACAGACATACAGACAGAGTTACTTTCGCATTTATAATATTAGCTTGGATTAACGTTATAGAACTCAAAGTCTGTATGTGTGGTAATTATATTGTAATAATTCGTTTCAAAGACTGTTTTTTTAATTAATGCCTAAATAAAACATTATATAAGTCCTTTGTTATTAAAAAGTAACATTTATTCATAGTATTCAGTTTCATTATTATGGAAAGCTATTATTAAGGTTCAGAGATAGATAGCTCTAGATAGATTCCACAAAATTGTTTTATGTCGAGCAATGACTACGATAAACGCCGCGCAACGTATCGCGGGTACAATTCCCGCCTAGTCTTTGTGTGATTTATTTTTAAACACAGGATATTTAGTCATCCTCCTTATTACAAATTGCGACATATGAAGTGAATAGGTAAAATACAAAATTCTAAGTTCTAAATACCTGACAGCTTTATTGAAAGTCCTCATGGTACAACACAAGTAGCTGTGCACGTCAGGCTGGCGCGTGGACGCGGCGCCCCGCGTCGCCCCCGACAGACAGAGCAATAGTCTGCATACTTCTACACCGCCGTAACCACCATCCTTGAATTGTGGAAACCAATTGGGAAAAAGTCCAAAAAACACGTTTGACCACATTGTCTTGGCTTATGACTTAGGTCTAGCTTCTGACCGTAAATTCGCCCGCGTGAAATAGTGATTTCTGGCAGATTTTTAGTGTTACTCACATAGTTCCCGACATCGTAGGATTTTCCTTTTGATTTCCGGGGATAAAAACTGTCCTATGCTCGAGTTTCAAAGTATGTCTGCACCGAAGATATTGTATATTTACAGATATGTTATAAGCGCGCAAAAGTGAAGACTCGAAAAGGATACAATTGTATGCAAGTGCAATTAGTCTCTCTTGGAATAATGTTTGTTTACGTTGATTACGTAATTGATAACAATAGCTAATTCGTTTTTTCTTGTTGGATTTATCATACTATCCTTTTTCTATAATTTTAACTTGTAGTAATATGTATAATTAATAATTAATAAAAAGGTATGTGAGTGTGTTGACGCTTGGCGCGGAACACATTTTTCGTGCGTTATGTGAGCTTATAACATATCTGTGTTAATATAATATCATTGGTCTGCACTAAATTTTTCGGTTCAGTAGTTTAGGTGTGTGAAGCAGAGATAGACAGACAGACAGAATTACTTTCGTAGTTATATTGCATAACTACGAAAGTATATATATAGCATTGGATTGAAATAAAATAATCACAGAATTTTGAGGAAAGCTTACAACAACACCCTCAAAATCTCAAATAGCTTTCGAAAAGTGTGCCATAGATGGTATGGTAGGTACTTATTTTAAATGTATTTGAAGGAGCTATCGTGAGCCATACTAAATTTACGGAAAATAACTACTTACTCACGTGAATGAATTGAGGAAAACTACTAAATCTTCAAATTTTTGTTTGACGTTCAAAAGTGTCTGTAAGGGACTAATTGGAATAAATGATTTTTTACTTTTTTTCGACTAGTTTCTACTAGTTAGAGTTGGCTGCGCGAGATGCGTCGCTGCGACGCGCACGCTGCTCATGAATATGAGTCCCATCGTGACTTGAAACTAGTCGAGCTTTTCTCAGTTCATTCATATGCGTGAGTCGTTATTTTCAATTTTGAATTTAAAGTGTAACTGTGAACTACGTACAATACAGTGAGGGAAATAAATAAGAAAGTTGATTTTCTGACCTATCCAATGTTGGCAATGGAAAAACTATTAACTATGTAACAAAATTGAACAAAATCTAGAAATTAAAATATATTTTTTGAAATAAATTTGTAGGTATAGGGATACCTTCAAACTAATAAGATGCACCACAAAATCCTTGGTATCTACAGTCCTCATCAAAGCGTATATTGCGGGCAGATTCCCATAGCACACATTGACCAGTACTGTAAGTGACTTGTGACCAATTGTACGAAGTTGTGGCTCTGGCATGGGCTGTGTAATCCATTCCGTTAGTTGTTTCATTAAACTGCTTAGGTAAGACTCTTGCCAACTGATTTTGATACCGTAGGATATTTCCTGTAAAAATATTGAATAATTAATTTCCTTGTAAGTCAAAAGTATGTGTTATGTCATGGGTTGGCAAACAAGCATTCGAATTACCTGATGGTAAGCAATCAGAACTGCCCATGGACACTTGTTATACCAAAGGAATTAATACCAGTGCGTTGCCGGCCTCTTATAGGCTGTTAGAGAGTCAAGCATAGGGGACTGAAGGGAGCGGGATGGCCCAGTAACCTCACTCACACAGCAAAACAAACCGTAACATTTGTAAGTGTGTATACTGTTATGTTAAAGTAAGAATATGTATTTTAGTTCTTTTGTCAGACTATGTGCTTGTTCAAAGATACAAATTGCAATGAAGAAGGCCATTCTAGAAAGGAAGAGGTTTTATTTAAATCGCCTACTACTTAGTAATAAAACTAATTGGAATACTTACTTGCATTACAGAGAGAAGTTTAATTTTCTTGTCATTAGATATTGAGTCGGATAATAATCTAGCCAGGATTGGCATGAACCTGAAAAGAATTTTTAAAATAAGTTTATAAATTTATTGAATTCTAATCATACAACAATGGTGCAAATATAGCTGGCTCATTTAGAAAAAAACATTATGTTTAACATACAAGAACAATTATGCCCCTAAGACGACCCACTGACCGATTTAAGGCTTGTATTGCAGGGAGTCAATGGATGCAGGTGGCAACTTGTCATTCAACATTGAGGTCTAAGGGGGAGGCTTTTATCCAGCAGTGGATGTCTTCTGGCTAATGATGATAGGGTTGATGATGAAGGCTTGTGACACATGATAAAATGTGGTGTTAAGAAAGAAAGGCAATGAATGTTTTATATAATCCTATGCAACAGGCAAGTAACTTTCCAATTGCCATTTAAATTGTGCTTGAATATATGTGCCAGCCAACTAAAATTTCAATAAATAGAATAGAAGAGTTAATACCTATTTTGATCTGATCTCTGTAGTGTAACAAGCCTGGATTATAAATATATTCAACCTATCATCTTGTTGTTTCATATAAAATAGATGCTGTGAACTACTACTCAACAGCTCAAACAAGTTCAAACATGTCTATTCAACCATTTTTGTTCACATAATTCAAAATGCACTATAAAATAGATTAAAACTAACTTGTAAGTGTGGGTCAAAGCATGTCTAGCACTGGGTTCTATAGCGGCTCTCGACAGCACGGCTACTCCAGCCCAATGAGGCCCACGACCATCGCACATCACACGCCATAGTGAACTGAAGAATGCACACACTTCTGAACGTCCCGGTGAAAATATTGATAAGTCACATGATGAGGCTATTAGCTGCAAATAAAAGAATAATGTTAGAATTACGGTATACAACTTCCTTATTAGTTCAAAAATTACGATATTTCGTATTTCTGGCCAGTTCTGAAGTCTGAACTCAAACCGACATAAAGTGTAATTAAATTCGTTACGGTTTAGTAGTAATTGGTTTACATTTACAGAAACAAGTAGAGGGCAAGGGTCCTATAATGTCTATATTATAATAAAAGGTTTTGTCAGCGGCTCGTCTTACAGGTGGAGTTTAAAATGGTTAGCGTGGTGTGTAAATAAAGGACTAACTTACCCCAAGGTAGCGTGTCATCAAATTCACAGCAGACTCACTATGGGTCGCTTCAAATTCCCGAGCAGCAGTCACAAATGCTTTCAAGTTAGAAAACTTCCCTCCTTCAGATGGATTACTTAACGTTTCAATGCCGTCCACTTCCATGTCCATTACACCGGCTTTTAGTAAAGTTAAACAATTTCGTCTTAGTGACACTCAAAAAGCGATTGTATTCTACAAACAAACAGTTCACTTGCCAACAATTCAAAATGATATTATCAATTTAAAATGAATAAAAAAGATAAACACTCCCACTTTCACCGTAAAATTCAATTTCAACTGTTTTATATGTCAATTCTTAAGTGCAGCGGATATTTTAGTTGTTTATAAATTAGACAGATTTGATTGGTCAACTTGAACCATAAATAATTTAGTTTACAATCGTTAAAAAATAAATTATTGTACGTTGCTTGTCTATTCTGGGGCATCGACATTTCGTTTCGATAGAAAATTAACTTCATTGAAACGTTAATTTATATTCCAATACTCTATATCAATTATGAGGTTAAAACAGAAACTTACCTACGTAAAACTCGTTCTGTAAATACTAATCAGCACTTCGAAAGCTTTTAGTAATATTGCCAATTGAAACATTACTACAAACACCAAGTACCCCAAGCCCGATCATGAAATAATAAAAAACAAGGTAAACGAAACCATAGATATCATTGACGTTTGTTTGCTGCCGTGCTATTGTTATTGTTTCCAAAAGTTGGTCTAATTGCAAAAAGTCACCGAAATTTAATTTCTACAAATTTAATAATCTAAAACCAACATGGGAGTAGATGTAGAAACCATTGCACCTGGAGATGGTTCGTGTTGATCGAAAACCCGTACACCTTATTTAATAACCTAGAAAAAGTTGTGTTTTCTCAACTCAAAATATTTTTCAGGTATAACCTTCCCGAAACCGGGTCAAACTGTGGTAGTGCACTATACAGGGACACTAGAAAATGGTAAGAAATTTGATTCGTCCAGAGATAGAGGACAGCCGTTCAAGTTTACGTTAGGAAGGGGCGATGTTATTCAAGGATGGGATCAAGGAATTTGTAGGGTAAGTAACCATTAATATACAATCTTCTCAGGCCTCAATATACAACCTTCATAATATCACATTCTGTAATACTTACAGTAAAAAAAACTAAGTAAAGATACAAATTCTTTGTCCTACCCTCTTCATTTTGTTGTAAAAAATATTTGCCGATATTTAATAATTACGAAACGACAGTACGAAGCTATAGTTTTAAAAAAAAGTATAGAACGAAGTCTAAATTTAAAAAAGCTAACTTCATGTTGGAATTTTGTTAGTTAAGACATGAAATTTGATCTACCCTCCTACCTATCCTTAAATTAATGAATATTGGCTCAGTTATCAAATAAGTCTCATAGAGTTAGATTTTCTTTTTTATTTATAACTTATTATGAGTAATAGCTCTTCAATCACATCACACACTGCCAAAAAAAAACACCCCAAGCAGTCTTCACACCTCCATCCATTCCATCATTCTTCTATTGTGTCTCAAACTACTATGATTAAAAGGTTAATAATTGTCATAGCACAACACCCGTCATTAATCTTTAATTTCCAAAGACTTGTATTGGAATGACTATTTCATTTTCATTCTGGACATGTTCCATCGAGGTTCTATAGTACCACATACATAATATATATAAGAAAACTATCATCCATTTACATGAATCAATAGTTTCCAACTAGTCAAATTCAATACTTTTATCCAAATGTCAAAAACTATACTTTTCTATGAAATTTGTATGAAAAACTAAATATTTTGCGTCAAATACTTATTTTTTAAAAATTTGTTAAGCCTTTGACTGCCGACAGAAAACTGTTGAAGGCAAATCCTCCGCTAACGGAGGTCAACGGCGACCCCCATGGCGCTTAACGTGTAAAAAATATCTAAAATTCAGTGTATTGATTGATCTATGAATAAAAGTATAGTTATCTTTCAATATTTTATTGTATTGAAATGTTGAATTAATTTATTTTTGACCTAGTAAACTACCCAATTTACTGATGCAACTTTTTTCATTTTTCATTAGTAATAAAACTTATTTGAGTAACATTTTTACTTCTTTTACTTCTTGTAAGTAAGGTTTCAATAAATCCACAGAATCTTACAATTCTTTGGCTGGACAGTTTGATCTTAATCTCTTTCCAAGTTATGAATGTGTGTCATGTCATTATTTTTATTGAAAATCCACATGAAATTTTATTTATTCAGTTATTAATTTTGTTTATTTATGCACATAAAACATCGATCACTAATAAAGAACTAGATACACAATCAGTGACAAAAAAATGTCCTAACTGAAAGTCCACCAAACTCAACATCGCGGTGTAGTTTTAGTTTAGTACCACTCGAATGCTCCGACGGTAAACACGCCTCAGTGCTCGTTAAAAAACTGCAAAAAACGCACATCTAAGATGCAAAAACGGATGGAATTTCATATTTTCGTTAAGTAATAATATTATCATTATATAATTGTCATCATTCTATTTTAAATATTGATATTTTATTAAGAAATCAACTTTAAAACTTTTTCCAAATGAAATCGTATTCAAAAACCGGGGTTATAATGCACACAGTTTATAAATACACTTATACTAAACTTAAAATCATTCTCTAGCATGACCACTTAAGTTGTTCGGTTTACATGGATTGATTCTGTTCCATTTAGTGGAGACGCTATTGTTTCTAATTTTATTTATTGTTTTTTTTATTAAAAAATATTTTTATTTAATATTATACTTCTTTACTGTTTTTATTAAAATATGGAATAGGCAGATGTAATGGATTTAATTTTAACTGCAGTAAAGAAATTTTTTTTTAGCTTTCATCAAGACCCGTGCGATATGAAAAATTGACAACAATAACGCCAACATTTTCAGTACTTACTTTAGATATATATTCTTTTTATTATTTTACATCTTTTTTATTTGACTTCGAATAGAAAGGATTAAGGAGGACGAAAATAATAAAAAAGAATTATAACTATATGCATTAGTTTCATTGGTTAATAAATGAACAAACCTATAGAAAAGAATACTATAAGTAATGCGTTTTAATTTGCGTATTTTCTTTTTTTGATAAATTATAAAATACGAAAGAAATTTATTTCTTACGAGACATTTCGACTTCAATCATTCTTTGTCCTAGCGGTGAGCCGAAGTCGTTAAATTTTATTGCTTATTTTTGACACTATGTAAATTCGACTTAAAAACATGCGAATATGGTTCAATTTCTTATGATTTATGTTTGTCAAGAGCTTCGGTCGCAAAAAGTATCAAGATTTTGTACATCACTTTGTAAAAACAACTCTATGAGTTGCGTTTAAGGTTTAATTTACATTAATGCATGTTTATTTCAAGTATAAGTACCTAAATACAGTTGGCGACAGTTTTGAAGCGAACTTTTGTATGGGATTGTGTATCTAGTTCTTTATTAGTGATCGATGACATAAAATGATAAATATTTGAACAAAATACATAATAATATACTAAATAATATATAATGTATTGTGTTCAAACCAAAAGAGGAGGTATGCAGGAAGAAATTCCTTTAGGCATGATTATTTCCTTCCTGCAGACTGCTTTTATGTTTGTATGGATACTTAAACTTAAAATTGCCTACTTGACATTACAAATACTTTTAAAAAACAAATGCCCCTTTAAAATCAGTTTGGTAGTTTTCATGATTTTTGATTTGAAAGATTATAATGAAAATCATATCAACACATACAATTTGAATTCAATTTTTTACTTTTTATGTGATTTTGGTAATAGTAATTTACTTGAAATTTTCTTAACATTGCAATTAGTAGCAGAACATGTTTGTTTATTTAATTTCAACCATAATCATCCTATTCCAATTACAAGGTAACAGCCTACCCTCCTACCACTTGTTTGGATAAAGCTATTCCTTGAAGCATACTTTACAAATAATGTATAATCTTTTGCAGATGTCTGTAGGTGAGCGAGCAAGGTTGATCTGTTCTCCGGACTTTGCATATGGCTCTAGAGGTCACCCTGGCGTCATTCCACCAAACGCTACCCTAATATTCGATGTCGAGTTAATACGTGTTGAATAATTGTTATGCACAACTACGATGCACTTACGGAAATACTCAAATGAAACTCAATTTTCACAGTTGTTCAGGCTTTTCAGTTATAATAGTAATCTTTTAAAGAAGAGATGAGAGAGAGAAGACTACATTCTGAATGGTTGTTTGATATTTTAACGCACTTTCGGGCAGTCTAAATAGAATTCATTTTTAAAAACAGAATCCATAAAAAAATATTTTAATAAAAAATTAAAACATAAAGTAACATTTGAGTATTTTACATTAATGATTTAAGTAAGTTATAAATGTTAATAATATTGTCATTAAATGTTTATAATAAGTGTTTAAAACAGCATTAGGTTTGTGACTTACATGTGATGTTGATAAATACTCTGCTTTAAGTGTAGTTTGCTAGCATACATTAAAAGAGAAAACAAGAGTATAAACTAGAAGACTTGTTAATAAGAATTGTATTGGCATAACAATGGTGGATGGAATGTCCTACAAACTTAGAGTTTGATGATAATTGGTCATGCAAGAATAGGTTTTAGTGATCAGAAAACCAATTGGAGATTTGAATGTATTTGATAGGCAAATGTGTGATTTATAATCTTAAAAACTAATGTTCAAATATGATAATGCTAAATGCTAAAAAACATATTTTAAAATGACAGTAATAGCTAAAACCTATAATTGAACAGTGTTACACTATTTAGACATGGTTTTGACAATGCAGAATAAATATAAAATCAATTGCATTGATAATACATATTTTGCAATCATTTTATAAACTTTCAATAGTATATTTAGTGTGCTATAGTAATAATTCAAATGTGGAAAACATTGTAAGAAAAACAGCTTAGAACTCATTATAGATTAAGAACATAAGCTTTGGCTATGTTTGCTATATGGTAATATTCACAAATGTTTTGTAAATTAAAATCAATGGAATTTATTGGTATAAGTACAGATGTCAGGTGGTTACAACTCTGGTCTTTATATAAGACAGCAGAAAATACTCATTATGTGTTGTCTTTTTGCTTTCCTTGGATTTTATCCTTATTGGGTTTATGTATGAGAATCTTGACAATCTAAGTGTCTGATGAACTGGCATCTGTACTGGTCCTATAATAGTGTAACTACTTGTACCTAATTTAATCTTTTTTTATAGCTTGCTAATCAATAGTGATTTCATTTGTCACCATATTGTTCTAACATGCCATAAAAACTTTTTAGGTAAGATGAGCTTTGACCTTTTTTGGTGTGCTATTTTTGCAGTGTAGTCTCTGTAAAGTTTAATCTTTTCTGTGCTTCAACATTTTACTTGAATAAGCTTGTTTTTGCACAAAGTATAGGAATTATAATTTCAAAAATTATATTATCAAATCTCTGCTTTGCTGAAATTGTTATCTTAATTTATTAATCATTGTATAAATATAATAAAAGATTTTATTTAATTGGGAATTGATTTATTACTTTAAGACTGCCTGCAGCCCTTCCCATCACCACTTTTACATATTTGATATCACAGGTATAGAAGATACATGCAGAAATAAAAATTAAAAAAATGAAACAAGGGAAGCTTTTACAATTCTTTGGCATATTAAAATTTAAATAAAACCAGGCAATATTGACCTCACTGTCACTGTCTTCGAGACAGCATAATTAAACAGTAATTACTTTTGAAAATCTACTGATAAAAAAATAAGAAACACCTTTCCCTTACAAAAAAACAATAGTCTATAAACTTTCTGGAAAATAATTCATCAATGGAACAACACAGTTCTTAGTAAAGGGTGTGCGGCATAATGCACAGGTTTCCAATGCTCCATAGGAGCACTGTAAACAGAATATATGGCCACAGGGTAAAACGCAAGGTTGTATTATTTCTTCCAGACAGGCCACACATGACTTGCTACTATCTACTTCATTAGGAATCTCTCTCATTTGATCCATATGTTCTTTCGCCCTGTACAAACTCTGGCCACAAGACACTAATGCATGCAACAAAGTTACAACACCAAGGAGTCTCAAATGTGCATAGTAGGCAGCTGCAGCGGGTCTAACATGAACATAGTCTATGCCAGTCACGGTCTTGCTTATCTGTAAAGGCCCACCACTGATATAAGCGATGCCACGGTGAATATTCTGTATCTGAGGTATTATACTGCTTAAGGTTTTAAATGTAATCAAAAACACGTTCTGTGCTTCTACAGTTAATGACGGATCTTGTTGAACTCGCTTTTCTGCACTCTGGAGAATGACTCTCGTAATATTTTCACCAAATATTGACAATAAGATGCTGAGAAGTCGACTCCAATGTGATGGTAACTTATTGTAGGTTTCGTCGACTTGCACGATACCTGAATATTCTTCTCCAAGCGTTTGGAGGTCCTGCAGGGTAGTCAGTGACCTATATATTAAAGAAGACAGTGGTATTGCTTTGGATACGTTTCTTGCTGACATCAATCTTGATAAAGATTCGGCAAGTTGCTTTTCGTAAAGATCATCTTTTTGCCATGATCGAAGAACTTCTGCAGGTTGCGCCCTTGGTAATGCCATTTTAATAAATTTTAAAACAATTACTATTAATTAATGTATCGTTGTTTTCATTTCAATACATATTTTAACGCCAAGAGCGCAATTTTATCGTAAATAAGTACCTAATCTAGTTTTTATTTACGACGAATAGATAACAAACAGAATAGAATACACGTCAACTCAAAGGTCAAACTGTCAACTGATACTGTCATTTGTCAAACTATTGTTTTTTTATGGTAGCAAGTCTTTTTAGGCTTAATATTTTTATACTTTTGTCTAATGGATTGTAAGTTTGTAAGTCACAAAATGCACTGCAGATGGCTCAAGGGTAACTCGCCGCTCAACCAGAACCATACCTGAGCGTAAGGCGCATAGCGTTCCGCAAGCGCCTCAAAGATACAATTGGCCACCACAGACGGACCCTAAAGGGCCGATATTCAGCTGGGGTGCAGGGTAAACGCAAAGAACCGTGGCTCCGGCCTAGAGCAAAAGAAGAAACGGGGAGGTTTTTAATCGCATACTCGCTCTCGCGTCACCATGGGCGCCTCACTAAACTTGATTTCCTAACATGATAGGTAGTTAGGTATCATGTGAAATGTGTTAAATTATAAACTTATTATTTGTCCTTTTTATTCTTAGCTGACTTAACACTAGACGCATAGTCTAATATTTGTGTAGCTAATTTATGATTTCTTTTTACTAGAATAATAAAAACACACATCACTATTAGTAGAAATATTTATTTTCTTAAAACTAGTATCATAGATTACACAAACGTTAATCTTTAATCAGCATTCTCCAATAGAATCACCAAAAAGTTCTCTAAGTTCAAATGCAATTTGAAATGTCTGTTCACACAATATTTTCACACCATTCATGAGAAAAATACATCAACGGCGTGGGGTCTTCTTGATCGCCCTGAGTGAGGTCTAAGTTCCCACCAGGGGCGTGGTTGTGTGTGTCAGAAGAAATGGCGGTACGTGTGTGGGTGTGTTTGTCAAGTGCGCCTGCGCTTGGCGGGAGTTGTCGCAGGAGGTGTTGAGGTATTCGCTCTTCTACGTCCACGTCGCGATCCGCCATCTTCGTCTATTAGTGGAGAGTCCCATGCTGTTCGCAATAATTATTAGTAAAAATTTCATATGTAAATGATAATTATGTAAGTAAAAATGTGTGCTATGTTGGAACCTATCACACTTTAATAAATCCCAGAGATGAAAAATATATGAGAATATTTATTTATTAAAATATTATCTAACCTGCTACTGAGCTAACTTTGGTCTTTGGAACCTTTTCTCTCTGTGATGTTGACTTTCTACTGCTCGAACTGTCGCGCGGGCCAGACGCGTTTGAGTCCCGAGAATCTCTCCTACGGTCTAGAAAAAAAATAAATAAACAGAATAAGTATTAAGAATTCAAATTGTAAGGAAATTAAAATGTTTTTATTTCCAATGATTATCATAATAAATTTGGTTGAAGCCAATGACCTGCAGTGAAAATATAATACTAGTTCTTAATAGGGGTAAAGAAACAACCAGACAGCATTAAATAAATAAAAAAATAATAAATAGGACCTTTTTAACATCAGCCAATACTGTCTGCACTATATTATGTATGTAATGGAAAATGAAACCTAAAAGCAATAGTACACTGACACATAATTCCTTACCATAATCTTTTTCCGACTTGATGCTGGGAGTATCAGTCGAGGCATGGGAACTGCCACTCTCTTTGCGTGTTTTAGTGGCCAGTGCGCTCACACTGTCCTTACGGCTGCCTGGTCAAGTAACTAACATGTTAAATACATATTTAGATATTATTGTCACACCATTTTTATTGTAAACTACAATATTTCTAGATATCATAATATTAGAAGGATTATTATGGCCCAAAATAACAATTATTTTATGATGGTGGACAAAAAAATGGAAAAATTATTGTGATGACAAGACAAAATAATATAGAAACAAGAGATCTAATAGACCATGGAATCAAAATGAAAGATTAAACCAAATTTAAAAAACACAACTTACAAAAATATAAACAAGAATAAAATATAATAAAACCTCTTTGCTACACACCACAAGCTACAAACACCACAAACCAATAAAGTACAAATTGATAATGGACTGTCTCTACCTTTGGGTGTACTATCTTTAGACGCAGTGCCCCTAGAACTGCTTCTAGGTGTTGAAGGCTTAGGTGAAGGACTCCTCCCATCTAAATTTTAACATCATATTGCATTATAAGCTTAAAATTACGCCAGTAAGATCAAGATTACCAAACTTTCTGGTGGCAAAGCTTTTTAAAATAGAATAAGATAGAGCATATACTACCTTCACTATCGTCCGCTAATATAGCCTCCTTACACTTCTGTTTCATTAGTGATCCGAATTCAGTCTCTGGTAAACTAAACGGTGTTTCATGATTCGGAAATGGTATTGGCTCAGTGTCTTCCAATAAATTTAAATCATACAGACTTTCTAAATGCTTCCATATATCTTGGGTAGATATTTCTTTAGTTATAGAATTTGAGAGCTTTTCCCAAATACACGCCATGTGGAAATGTTTGTTTATGCCAACCGGCTTGTGGTTAGCCATCGCATAAAACAATTGTATTTCCATATCGACGTCCCATGTTAACGGATCACTCGTTTTAACCTCCGGTTCTTCCTCACTAGAGACCATTTCACTTAACTTATTAACAGGTTTTTCACATGAAAATGGTAAACCAGCGAAAATAATTAATTAATTTATACAAAAAAACACTGTTTACAGCTTGTCAATAATAAAATGTCGCCAACGCCTAGTGATGGGCAACTCGAGTTATCTAACTCGGGCAACTCGAGTCAGACCGTGAGCGAGTCAGCCCGAGTTAATATTTCTGCAACTCGGGTTGAACCGAAGAGCGCGCGCGGTGGCGAGCGGGGCGGGTAGGTTGCCAGCCCGCCGCGCGCCGCTCGGCTCGACTCGACGCCGCCGCCCGCTCGCGCGCTCGCCGCCTAGCCCGCGATTCGCTAGGCCCGAACGACACCGAGCGAGCCCGAGTCAGCACGAACAACGAAACGTAGTCGCGTCGTCCGAGCCGCGAGCCGCGAGTGAAAGAGATAGTTCTCGTCTTCGGCGAACAAATGACAGAGTTTTAACACAAAAGATTAGATATTTGTTTTGTTTACGTTTTTGTTATTACTACTTAGTTCGTAATTTATTGTTTTGTTGCGGTATTATTAGTTTATTAAGTTTTGTTTGTCTGATTAATAACTTTAGAATGGCTCCAGGAAACAGGAAAAGTGTGGCGTGGGAGTTTTTTTCGAAAATAGACAATAATACTAAAGTACAATGCAATTTGTGTTCTAGTCAATACAAATTTAGTGGAAATACGAGTACCTTAGTGAACCACCTAAAAAAAACACATTATACAATATAGTGAAGCTGTTGGCCCAATCTAACAACTTTCAATAACATTAAAGTCTGACAAACTTATTTTATTTGACTATCATTAGCATGGACTCGACCCCACACAGCCCGTCGGGCTCGACAAGCAAACTAGCAACCCGCAGAACGATGCACCGAGTCGAGCGTTTACTGACTCGAACGGACAACCCGGACAACGCGACGTATCTTATGGCTGATCGGGTCGAGTCAACTCGAGTTGCAGCCCGAGTTGGTTATCAGGTCAACTCGAGTTACTCGAGTTATCAAAAAGACGACTCGGCCCATCAGTACCAACGCCAACACAAAAACCATCCCTTCCGAAATCCGCAATGATTTGACAATTGTTAGTTTGACATTTTGACAGACTTTCCAGAGACAATAAAATATATTTTGTTTATGGAAGTTCCTTCATTAGAAAAAAGTATTGTTGCTCAAAAAGTCCAGAATCTTGACTACCTGAGTTTATTGTAATATGAGTTGATTACTTTACTGAATAAGTATTTATTGACTTTTTATTTTCGCCTGTATCCACCAAAGGCATGACAATAATTGGTATCCATTGATTTCATTTAAGTGTGGGAGAGCCAAGCTTCGTCACGAATGGGTCGGCTCGACCAGAGTGATATTACCACAGCCTCACAGAAAGCCGGCGTGACACAGGTTCGGGGTTGTGTTTCACCGTGTGAGTGAGGTTACCGAAGGCCCAATCGCTCTTCCTGTCCTATCCCTTTCCAATCCTTAAATAACCACAACCTTAATCCCCAAATGGCCGGCAACGCAATCCTAACTCATTTGGTGTTGCGATTGCTTACCGTCAGGTAATCAGTCGGCTCATTAGCCGAATTATCCTATAAAAAAATTATAGATTTATGTTATAATAATGGCCTATAAAGTATTCACCGGTATTTCCCCTCCTTTGTTTTTAAGGAGAACTGTCTCTGTAGGTAAAAAGCACAGGTATTATACACACGCTCCAGTGGCAACTGGGTTTTGTGGCTCAGCAACTTTAATTTGTTACCTGCTGCTGCACTCATCATTACATACACTTTGCTGCAGCCAGTACCACTCTTGAAGGGTTTTTCAACTATGATTTACTGATTACAGTTGGACATTAAAAAATATTAAACTTTTTCAAGAAGGTGCCTTTCATTGGTTAGCTTAAGGGTCAGTCACCGTTCATCCACTCCGCACGAACTCGCCTCTTGCAGCTAGCTTTATATGGTTTTGTGTGTGCGCTCATCAACTCAACACTAACTCAAATCAGATCGCCTCGCTTCTAAGCTGTTCAAGTGCGGATGTCGAGTGGACCACTCGTTGATAACTCGCTGCTAGTATGCTTGCCTTGCGTTGACTGGGCGTTGCTAAAGCGCAGGGGTCCCGAGTAGAACGCGCGCTGCCCCAGTGCCAATTATTAACAGACTGAAAACTTCGTTGACCACTCTGCATTCACTCATTGACCACTCGAAGTCGTGCGACGCCGTGCGACGAGGCTGTAAAGGTGTGGGTAATGGGTGGCCCTAATGAGGTACAAGTGAAATGCTTTGACATAGCAAATAGAAATTATGTTTCTTTTTGACATTAGCTGTCACAGGTATAACTACTCTGAGATTACTAATAAAATATAATACTGTCGCCTGCATTATTTCGCTGTGTGAGTGAGGCTACCAGAGACCCATTTTCGAATCCCGAATTCCTTAAAGACAGGAGTTACGTAAGTCAGCTCGTTTGCGGACCAAACCCATAAAAAATATGTGTAACTGGCTAGAACGAATATCATAGTTCAGTAATGACAAAAAGGAAATCGGGAACGTTAACATAACGACGACGATGGCCGATACTCGATGGGCTCCACGAGGCACGGAGTGCGCTTGCAGTAAAAAAACAAATAACTCAAAGACTTATTGTTTATTCTTATATTCATTCATCGTTCACAATTTTCTTAAAAGTAACTAAAACTAATGAATACATAACGTACAATGTACTATATAGGAGTGAAACAATGTAATTACCGTGTTTGAATTATAAGTACAGTCGGCGCCAAAACTATGAAGCCACATTAATGCCGTTTCGATCTTGAATAAAAAAACCCAAATTTTTAGTTAATTCATCACTTATGACTTACATTAGGTTTTATTTGTAACATTAGTCACTAGTCTACTAGAAGCCATCTTTCTTGGGCTTATATTCATCAAATTTGATTCAGCAGTTTAGACGTGAAAAGACACCTTGCTCCCGCATTCATAGCATTTAGTAGGTAAAGATTTGTACAATTTGTCCTAAATAAGCTTATCAAGAGTTGGTAAATGCAATTATGAAATAAAATAAAATAAAATTAAATCAACTAGGTACCATTTCAATGGACATTAAGGTCTAAACTATCAAATAAAACAATGACTATGCAAAATGACTTCAGCGCTATAACACTGAACGCGTATGCAAGACATAGAGCGGTACGATAACGCAATCCTATCGAAGTATACATCAACAATTAAATTACTAGACATTTAAAACAACCGATTTCGATGCTTTTTTTGATACAACAATTCAAAAATATTTAAGAAAAATAATTTGCCAAAACTATGTTATGTATGTTTTTTTCTATCCTTATTAATGAGTAAAGAGAAGATGTGTTAAGGCGCTTATAAATTTAGACGGACGGCGATAAATTTGTGTACTACTTCCAGGCTTTCTAATCTTCTTTTATCATTATTAATTCAAAAACATCTTCAAGTTGCGGTATAATTCACTTTATTTTCTAAGGAACAAAGTTTATATTGTATTAAAATCTATTAACGACTGACTTAATAATATCAATCGTTAATGTTATGTTATGTTAATGTAATTTCTCTTTTCAATTATAAAGCCTTAAACATGCAGTACAGACAGAACGCAATAGTTGAAATATGCGAATAGATAAGGACACATAATAAGTTACTAAGTCGTAAAGAAATACAAATAAATAAAAAAAAGGAATCGTCGCTACTTTTATTGAAACTAAACATGTACTTTTGAAACTTCAACATCGCCTAATTATAATGGAGTTAAGACAATGCGCAAACAAAACGCGCACTCGGTAAGAGAACATGATTGAAATACGTATGTCAATAATTCTTATTAATTATAGGATATTGTATAACATATCTGTCGCTGAAGGCAGTATTCAGGTCACTCACTCCTTCCACTCCTACTGCCATTAAATGATGAGATTTTGACATGATCGCAGAGAAATGACTTATATGATAAGTAGGTATCAGGAATTGGTAGTTTCCTAGGTCAAAAATAAATTAATTCGACGTTTAATACAATAAAATGTTTAAAAATAACTGTACTTTTATTCATCGATCGATCGATACACTAAGTTTTAGATATTTTTGGCTAATTATTAAGAAATAGGTAAGCTATTTGCCGCCAAAATACTATGTCGTCATGACTCACTTTTTCATACAAATTTCAAAGATAAGTATCGTTTTTGACATTTGGATAAAAGTATTGAATTTGACTAGTTGTAAAGTCGTTTTTAAGTCAAAAATCGGAATGGAGTGGCTTTTAGTGAGTATGCCACTGCTTCACCCAAGGCAGGAGTAGTCATTTGATTTTCAAAAAGGTACTAGATATTTACTATTTCGACACCCGCTAAGTATACGTATGTATCTGCCAGATACACGAAACAGTTTTTATTGCATTTTTGGCATCTACATACCTATATTTACCACATATATTTTTATTTTATTTTTTCAACTACCCCAACATACTTTTTTCTCAAACGTATAATTGTTTATCTGCATATGGTGACAAATAAACACAGCGTACAACCGTATAAGTTCCAGTTACATACTTTGACGCGGGGGGAAAAGGGCGCGCGGTGCGGGTAACTGCCGGTCACTCAGTTCTCCGGCGGGCAGCGAGTTGTGCGCGCGAGTGTTGCGTTGTTTCTTACCATGTCGAGTGAACGTTATAAATTTTTAACTACATTAAGGGAAGATGCAATTAAAAGCCAAAAAAATGCTGTGGACCAAATAATAAGCGTAACATCAGACCAGATAGACTCGCCATCAAGGCAAGGTAAGTAATATTAACTAAATATTTTATAATTATTAAACTATATATTTTAAGTGCACCCATAAATTGAGATTTCTACCTATACTGTAAATATTTGAACACGTCTTAGAATGAAAAACTATCGCCATGACGACATTACTGCAATTTATTCATTCCCGATGCAAAAGTATGTAACTACGCAGTTACACATTTTTACGTCGGAATTTAGTTTGATTGAAAAATGTATCTAGGCACTTACCTACTTATTCTACGGAATGTGTTTAAAATGAAATCAGTTAACTAACACATATATTGTTTTACATTGGATTTTAACTTGATTATTAATACCTATCTGTATACTTACATAGTTTTACTTTTATGAAATGATGTTGATTATTGTAGAAAATCGAGTGTTTTATTGTGGTTTGATTGTTTCAGATACTCCAGTACACTTCTCAAAATATTTCACTAATGAAGACTTGCAACAAATGACGGAATTTATAGAAAATAGTGACGAAGAAACAAGTGCTGCACAAAACCATATTAAACCCTCAGAATGTACCAGAACACATGCCCCAACCGTCACACATACAGCTTCAGTGATTTTGCCAAGTAACTCTCATGACCCCATATTGGCAACTATAACGCCCCAATCACCCATGATGAGCATGGTCAGTTCAGGTATTCGAAATGATATTTCTATTGAGTCGCCAAATTTCTCGTCAGTCATAGCTCAAGCAATTGCTCAGTTAGATTGTGATATATCACCAGCTCCTACGCCAAACGTTGTCATGCCAGTTAGCTCACCTATGCCAATACAAACCCCGATTACAGACAACGCTCTTTCTGACATTGAACCATCACCGAGGCGCAGGCTATCCACAAGAAAAAAAGATAAAGGTAGATTACGAATGGTCCATCAAGACCAATGGTTGGATGTTATGCGGAAGAAAAATAAAAATTTAGGAAATGCGTACAAAAGTAGGAATGGTAAAATGAGGAAAAAGAAAGAGATGGGGCCATGTTGTGGAGAGAAATGTAAGTTTAAATGTTCACAAAAAATCACTAATGTTGACAGAGATTTGCTTTTTGTGGCATTTTGGTCAATGGGAGATATAGTTCGTCATTGGGATTTTATCAATAAGTACTGTGATAAAATTCCAAAACGTAGAGTTACTACTGAAACTGCCTCTAGAAGAGAATTTACTTTGCGCTATTATTTACCAACAAAAATAGATCATGAGGTACATGAGACTGATTCAGTGTCTCCAAAGCCACAGATAACGAAGATACAGGTCTGTAAAACCATGTTTTTGAACACTTTTGGGATCAAACAAGGCCTGGTATATTCTGCTTTGAAAAAGCTTTCATTGCAAGGCACTGTTGTCCACGATAAAAGAGGTATCCATAGACATACTAAGAAAATTACTGAAGAGATGATTGCAAGTGTTTGTGATCATGTGAACAGCTTTGCACCTGTGGAATCGCATTATGTTCGAAAACGTACGAATAAAGTATACTTAGATGGATCTCTTACATTTGCTCGAATGTTTCTGCTGTATAAAGATTGGAATGATCCTAAAAATCAAAGTAAAGTTAAAACAGCAAGACAATACCGAGACATTGTCAATAAGAATATAAATTTGGGGTTCCATGTCCCCAAAAAAGATCAGTGTGATGTTTGTCAAGTGTATAAAAACTTACCACGTCCTGTGACTGAAGAGCAGCTTAACACATACAATACCCACATGAGAAACAAGACTATAGCGCGAGAGCTAAAGAACAAAGATAAAGAAAGCACTATGAAATCAAAAGAAGTACTCACAGCGGTATATGATTTTCAAAAAGTGCATGGAATGCCCTGTGGAGAAACTAGTATTCTTTATTATAAGAGAAAGCTAACTGTATTCAATTTTACAATATACGAAATGGGAAGCAAAGTTGCCAAGTGCTATGTTTGGGATGAAAGCACTGCAAGCCGAGGAGCAAACGAGGTGAGTAGCTGTTTATATGATTATATGAAAGAACATTACCAAAAAGGCATAAAAACATTCAACTTTTGGTCCGACAATTGCGGGGGACAAAACCGCAATCGTATCGTTTTTGCAGCCTATTTAAGAGCTGCAAAAGATTTTGAAGTCACTATAACTCATAAATATTTTGAGAAAGGCCACACACAAAATGAGGGTGATAGTGTACACGCCCTTATCGAGAGAACTGCCAAGAATAAAATGGTGTACACCCCCGAGCAATGGTATGCCCTCATAAGGTGGGCCAAACAAGATGGAAACCCTTACTTAGTCCAGGAAATGACTACTTCAAATTTTATGAATTTCAAAGCACTGCTCCCTGGATGCAACTGGACTATAAATACAAACAGAGAACGAGTTTTCTGGTCTCAACTAAGACAGTTAGAAATATGGCCTCAATTCTCTGACAGGATACAATATAAAACAGATTTTTGTGACCATGAGTTCAAATGCATTATTGTAAATAATGCACTAGAGACTCCCAAAACCAGATCAAGGAACCGCATAAGATTAGACAACAGTCCACTTCCAGCCCCTCTAGCAAGAACATTGACCCAAGCTTACGAGGGGAAATTACCAATACCCGAGGCTAAACTTCAGGATTTGAAGTACTTATGCCGAAATAATATTATACCATCTGTTTATCATGACTTTTACATGAGTTTGATAGAGGGCAGCAATGACAACCAGCATGACAATGAAGATGAAGAAGACGAAGAAGAGGAATGAAGAGTCATCTTGTGATCTCTTTACTGATTAGTTGATGACTGTTGTGGTCATAAGTCTAAAATGATAAATTAAAACGTGCAATTTTATTACTCAATAAGCACAATATAGAATAAAACCTTGTTAAAATTATTATAAGTAAACAATGATAGTTCAGTAATATAATATTAAATTTGATCTCAGTACAAGAATGTCCAAATAGCTTTATGAAACGACTGATTTATATAGGTAATTGTTAAGTAATAATTTTATACTCATTCTATTTAGAATTAACATTACGTTATTTTGAGAATTTATTTTGAGACAAACCCCATACTTTTTACGAAATTTTTACGAATGCCTTTAAGGCAATTTTTATAAAGTTTATGAATATTTTTTATAAGTGATTTCCAGTTCAGTAAGAACTTATACCTAATAAAACAAAAGAGAAAAGTCTGATTACCAGTAGGTAGGTAGATGCCATTAATTTTTAATTAATGTTACATTAGATCTTCGGTGTTATAAACATGCAACATATAATTAATAAAAATGTTACTTTTTGACACGTGAAACGGTTGAAATTTTTATTTTTGTGTTTTGAAAATAAACATTAAGATAATACAAATATATCCACTGCTTTTATTTCAAAATACCAAAACACAAATGATGTTTTTACAAGTTTGGAATTCAGTTACACTTGTATGCATAATAACATAATTACGGCGGTAAAATATGTAAGTATCAGTTACACAGGATATTTCTATTGACTTTACCAATTATAAGTCCGTATCTGGCAGTTAAAGCAATAAGGTACCTGAATATTCCAATGAAGAAATATGTATGTGCCAGTTAGCATATTTTGATTGTTTTTTACAACGCAGTAAAAGTATGCATGTGTGATAAAACAAAAACTTGAAGATATAGAAACAAAATATACTCTTAATTATAAATTTCACTTAATTTTAAACCCGCTCACCAAATATTATACTTTAATTCCATATAGGGGCTTAGCTATGGCGATTTAAAAAAAATGAAATCTTCAACTCGCTGTCCTATAAAATTTGCATTTGTCAGTTACTTAGTTCTACTTAGGAGGTGTCGATTTGTAAAAATATCTCACTTCATATACTGATGAAAACTAGTTAGACCCGTCCAACATCACGTCAACAAATTTTGTACTAGCGAACTATTTGGATTTCAATTTCATCTAATAATAACAAGTTTAATTGACATCATCGTTGCGCTAAATATATTTTTCTACATATTTTACAAATGACATTATAATAGACAAGCATAAGCAATCTAATTCCAACACCAAATTATATTTTTGGCAATTTTTTTTAAATACTCAACATGCTTTTGGCGTCGACTGTACTTTTTATACAAAGTGTAACAGAAAGGTGTAGCCATATGAAATAAAAATAATAAAAACTGTCTTGTACTTTTTAGTGCTCATTAGACCTTTTTTTATATAAGTTTATATTGAATAAATAATTATTTAATTTTATTTTCTAAATTAGGAAGAAAGCTTATAACTGAGAATTGTCGTGCTGTATGACTAATAAACCTTTCTATTGCATTTTGTATATTGACGATCAGACAATAGGAAACACTGCATTACCTACGTTACTACAAACGTAATAAGTGTCATATCTCACTGGTGGCGTTGAAAAAAGTATATAAGCCAACTAAATAATAATATCAGATTTGATATAAAAAGTTTAGATATGAAACATCAAAATAAATAAATTAATTCGACGTTTCAATGCAATAAAATATTGAAAATTAACTATACTTTTTTTCATCGATCGATCGATACACTAAGTTTTAGATATTTTTTAGCTAATTATTAAGTAATAAGTAAGCTATTTGACGCAAAAATACTACGACGTCATAACTCAGTTTTTTATACTAATTTCAAAGAAAAGTATCGTTTTTGACATTTGTATAAAAGTATTGAATTTGACTAGTTGGAAACTACCGTATTGGCAGAAGAATATTGGCTTATAAACTTCTTTCTTCTAAATGATTTGATATTCTAGAAGGTAATGAACCAAACCTGACCAAGTGGCCACCAGTGGGGCAAGACGCTTAGTGTAAGTCTCATACGCCGGGAATAAGACCGGGTTTTCTACCCGGCCATGCTTCTTTGGCGTACTTCTTCTTGCGAGGCTCGCTTGATGGACCCGCTTCTTCGGGAGCTGAAACGATGAGAATAACAATTATTACCTACTAGCTTCCGCCCGCGGCTTCACCCGCGTGGTATGTTGATAAAAATATAGCCTATTCTGGAGTGTATCCTGTGTCTGTGCCAAATTTTATCCAGATCCGTCAAGCCTTTTTGGCGTGATTGAGTAACAAACATCCAAACATCGTAACTTTCGCATTTATAATATTAGCAAGTCTTCGCACGAGTGCAGTGGTCATACTACATTTCTTGACAATTTAATTTATGTTACTATACAAACATTCCTGTTCAATCACTCTATTTATTAAAAAAAAACCGCATACAAATACGTTGCGTTGTTTTAAAGCCACAGCCACTTTCCCGTTTTTCGGTTTAACTTTATGCGTGTCAGTCTCTCCGTCTGACACGACCACAGCGATGTGTTTCGCCGTGTGAGTGAGGTTACCGGATGCCCAATATTCACCTCCCCCAATCCCTTATCCCCAAAAGGTCTGCAACGCACTTGAAACTCCTCCGTTGCGGTCCGCTGATTGCTTACCATCAGACAATACGTGCTCGTTTCCCGATCTATTACATAAAAAAGAAGATTACCAATATTACCTGTATGCGGTAGAGGTGGATGGATGTTGAGGTGTGGCTCCGGACCTTCGAGCTCCACGTCGGGCGCGGGGTTTGGTAGCGACAGCCCCAATCTGGAAGGAAATTAATTAAGATATTATTTAGGGGCCAATGATGTATAAAACTATAGATACGTTGTCCGCGCTCTAAAATGACAACATGAAATGAAGGCAATTGACAACATCGCGCTTAGTTACGCACCAACGTGCCGCGCGACGCTACGTTTGTTTTTAATTTATATCGTGTGTGTAAACCTGTGCGAAACAAAGAAAGCATTTCGTCGTGTGTGTTCAGACGATGTACAAATTATACTCCAAAAGTTGAAGACAAAAATGTGTCATTTCATGCGTAAGTTCACCAAACAACCTATTTTTATTTTTTTTTTTTCGACGCCGACGCACGCCATCTTATGGCGGCCGGCTGAAGTCACGTGCCGATAGGGGAGGTTGAGACACTATTCTACTAGTGTTTTTTTTTTGTTGATAGGATTTATAACATTGTTTGAATATAATAATCATACTTGTTATGTTATGAATATTAATTATAAGAGGCAGAAAAGTTTTACTATTACTTATCCTGTGATGTAACTGAAGATGGTTTCAAAAGTACCTATTTATGGTTTAGTTGGAATAAATGATTTTGACTTTGACTTTGATGTATATTTATCTCCCTCTAGCAAAGGCATTCCACTATACGATGTCATATTTTCTTTCCCTTTCTTTACTCGTAGAAGTAGTTATCTAGTATTTTCGCCGTTTTTAAGCGCCGCGATGTTGGTTCATGATTTTTCAATCTATACTAATATTATAAAGAGGTAAAATTTGTAAGTTTGTATGTAGAGGGTAATCTTTGGAACTGCTGGTCGGATTTCCAAAATTCTTTCACTGATAGATAGCTACAATATTCCTGAGTGCTAAAGGCTACAAAAGATCACGCTACGATTAAATGGAGCCGAGCAGCGGGTGAAACTGCGCGAGAGTAGCTAGCGGTTAGATAAAAAGTTATCTTAGGTAATAATAAAATTATAATGCTGTCGCAACAGAATCTATACTAGTAATATTATAAATGCGAAAGTAACTCTGTATGTCGGTTTTTCTTTTTTCACACCTAAACTACTAAACCGATTTCTGTGAAATTTTGTACAGACATAGTTCGGAACTCGAGAAAGGACATAGGATAGTTTTTACACCAAAAATCTGCAGGAAGTCACTATTCCAGGCGAACGGAGTCGCGGGCAAAAGCTAGTGTTTATATGAGACAGTGAGAGCAACAATTTTATTCCTCAGATAACATTTATAGGACTATTGAAAAATCAGCCCTAATAATGTTTTCGATTAGTGTATACTACTAAATGTTATATTAATGAAATTGTAAAAAAGTGTTATTTTTTAAAAAGAGTAACTATTGTTTTTCTTACTCGTTCTTCTCAATTCGAATCTAGAATTTGGAACGAGCACCTATACTCGGAATTTTAATTCCATTCCAGTTCTGACAATTTCAGTGTTGCAACGTTATGACACGTAACAAATAGTGACGTTGCGAAATTATTCGATGAGGAAATCGAATATTTCTGAATCGATTCCTCTCGTACTCTCGTAAACTAAGATTATCAGGAAATAAAATATTTCTGAACCGATAATTTAGTTTTGACAATTAATTAACGATCTGAGACTTTTCTTTTGTAATTGTTTGTGAAATTAATTAAAAATGTTATCATGAAGGAACATGACAAATAAAACAGAAATTTTATAAACTGTCGCCGTCATCGCTATCGCTATCGCTGTTACTTTCTGTAACATTTATTATGAATTGTGTCTGTGATATTTATTGTCAATTAACATATCTAGCTTACTAATTTTTTCCTCTTCTTTGACAACATGGGATAGGCATTTAGACCATTCGGTAGCTGTACTTTTTTGAATTCACTGATTGTTTATCGATTTTTGTGTTCATCACTACACTTTTATATGTGGTATCATTATTTCACAAAATGACAGTAGGTCATGTCAAATCAGGAATCGAATTAAAATTCTGACTATAGCTTCACCGACGAACAAACTGACAAAATTGTTTATTTGGAATAAATTATTTTGACTTTGACTTTAACATTGCCTTTAATGCTGCGCAATATAGCATCGCGACTCCGGCGAAAAAAATCTGAGACGTGTTTTTTTTGTTGGAGGAAAATGATTGAATTTCTCTTTCCTCCCTTGGTGGGGCGAGATGCCAGTCAGTGTCAGACTCTTACTGACAAAAACTATCCGATCCTTGTCCAGCTCGGGGCCGCGGTACATCATCGCGTTAGCACCCGCAACCCTGGCTGAACATAGGCTCCATTGGGCTCCATCTATGTTGGTCTAATGGCATTTCTCTTTGTAGATAATCTACACTAATATTATAAAGAGGTAAAATTTGTAAGTTTGTATGTAGGGGGTAATATTTGGAACCGCTGGTCGGATTTCCAAAATTCTTTCACTAATTGATAGCAACAAAACTCCCGAGTGCTAAAGGCCTTAAGACAACTCGCTGCAATCAAATGGAGCCGAGCAACGAGTGAAACACCGCGGGAGTAGCTAATGTCTCATAAACATTGTAATTTTCACTGTTTTTAAAATCAATGTTACTCAACCTAAATGCGTCGTCGGTAAGGTAGGTAGGTGTGCAAAACCAAGCCTAATGTTATACTACATAAGGTTTACTTTCTTTGCTAAACTGCACAAAAACCAGCCAAAACCAAGGAATTCATCCACGTTACTCGGATGAAAAATAGCCTTTATGTCATCCTTGCTAGAGTATAATTTATTTCTGCGGCAATTTTCGTATTTATCTCCGTATTTAAAAAAAAAAAAACCTGCTGTGGTGGCAAACACTAGGATTTTCTCCTGTGTCGGGGTTGCGTTTACAAACATACCATATCACATATGCATCACAGCTCGACACGGAACAACAATTTTTGGATCACACAAAGAGTTTTCCATGCGGGAATCGAACCCGCGACACGTTGCACGGCAGCCAGTTGCCCAACCACACATTTCAAGATTAACAAGATTCTACGTGATCCGTACTAACAAATTTTCGCATTTATAATATTATTAGGAATATGTGGATATAATTCTCTTACCTAGCTCCAATGAGACTTAAGTGTGAGCTGGGTGCAGGCAGGTCGGAGTACAAATTGTTGCCTCTTGATATCTCCTGCAGCCTTAGTGAGTGGTGGTGTTGACCTGCAAAAACATAATGTTTATTTAAGGCTGATTTTTCAATGGTTAGATAAAAGTTATCTGAGGAATAATTAGGGTGCTGTCGCGTCAGAATGTTTGTATAAAACACAGAACAGAAAATTAAGTAGAAGTGCCCCTACACTCTTTCAAAAGGAAAACCAGTGTCGCCAAAATCACACATTCGCAAATCAAATTATCCATTACACACATAAAAAACAGCTATATAATTGGGTAAAAAGTTGAAACACAACTTTAGCAAATCATCTTCTAAATGTTGTTAAAAATTGAGTCTTATAACAATGAGCGAAAGTTGTTATCATTTCACATGTCACAATCAATAAAGGCGTCTATCGTGTAAAAAACTTAAATAAAACAATTTACAAACGGGTTCGGCCACTCAATGCCAGATGGCGCTGTAACAAATTCATTCTATTCAAAACGCTAACTTCGTTGAAATAAATGTCATATTTGTATGCACTTGTACCAATAGACATTACTATTATGCTACTCAGATAGGGCAGGGTATTCCAATATATCGATGTTATTGTATTCGTGTAAGCAATATAATTTATCGACACTATATACCTACAAATGATGAGAAGTAATGAAAAAAGGTTCTAATAGAAAAAAAAAAGAAAAATATTAACATTTTTTGAAGATTTAATATTTTTTGGAGATGGTCAAGTAATTATTAAAGATTTCGATTTTAACATATAAAAGCACTACGCGCTACTACAAGTTTTATCTTCTTTCCAACAAAAATAGAATTATTAAAATCGGTTCATAAATAACGCAGACGAACGAACAAAAAAAACATGTACGGTCAATTTTTTGTAACTCTGTTAAAAATCATGTACAACATTATAAAATAAAAATGGTGATTAACCACCCGCACCTACCACAGTTAAAACGTTGATGTGTCTATGCAATCTTAGTTAAACATTTATGAATTATACTCAAAAATTGTCAAAAAACAATTTTCTGAACGATGATGATGAAAAATTCTCGATACGAACCTAATTTACGATTGTGTCCCATCCCTAAATGAGTAGCGTCGAAACTACTGGAATATATTGTATATAACGTCACATACCGAACAAGTAGATTTAAACTTAATTGTAATGAAAATAAGGCCTGTGTTCAATGCAAACTTTATAGTTTGCATTGAAGTAATGAAATGTGATATTTTCATTAAAATCAAATATATTTAAAATTAACAAAGGTACTACTCAACGATGATACGATACACCACCAAAAGCCACATATTTTTTTCTGCTTACTTTTTTGCAGTTGAAAACCGCACAACAAGGCATAATTTCTATATATAAAAATGGATCGCAAAATGTGTTGGTAAGCGCATAACTCAACAACGCCTAGACCAATTTTGCTAATTCTTTTTTTGTTGTGTTTGTTATTGTTAGGAAAAGGTTCTTATCAAAGAAAATATTAGAAAAGTAGAGGAAAAGTTTAGGAAAAAGTGACCCGTGAAAGTGAAAAAGATAGTTGGACCCGTGCGAAGCAGGGGCGGACCGCTAGTTTCTAATATATTTCGTGTTTCCTATAGACAACCATGACAACCGATCATGACAACGGAGCGAACGATTCTGACAGCGAATGTCCCAAAATGTTGTAAATCTATACATCATGTTGATTAGCGCGCGATGTCTTAGTGGCACTTCCACTGTATTTTCTATTCCGTGGTATAAAATAAAACAGTGACAGCAACAATTTTATTGTACAGACAACATTTATCTGACCATTGAAAAATCTGCCCTTAGATAAAAAATATTCAATTGTTATATTATATGTATATACCTAGTTAATACATACATACTAGTACCTACATTTTAATAAAAGTAAAATGTCAAAGAAAATTAATTCAAAAACACAAGTATAGATATCTATATCTTTCTTTATAAAAATGGATCGCAAAATGTGTCGATAAGTGCATAACTCAAAAACGGCTGGACCAATTTTGTCAAATCTTTTTATTTTGTATTTATTATTGTCAGAAGAAGGTTCTTATGAAAGAAAATATTAGAAAAGTAGAGGGGAAAATTTGGAAAAAGGGGCCCTTTCGTTGTTAGCGAGATAGTTGGACCTGCGCGAAGCGGGGGTGGGCGGCTAGTAATATTATAAAGCTGGAGAGTTTGTTTGTTTGAACGCGTTAATCTCCGGAACTATTGGTTCGAATTGAACAATTGTTTTTGTGTTCATTAGTCCATTTATCGAGGAAGGCTATAGGCTATAAACCATCACGCTACAGTCTGTAGGAGCCGAGCAGGGGGTGAAACCATGCGAGAGTGACTAGTTCAGTAATATTTAAGTAAGCTGTAAAATATGCGTTGCGGTTGTTAATGGACAGTGCCCATTGCTTACTATCAGGTGAATTTACTCTTATACCATAAATAAATCTATACTAATATTATAGAGGTAATATTGTAAGTTTGTATGTAGGGGTAATCTTTAGAACCGCTGGTCGGATTGCCAAAATTCTTACACTGATAGGTAGCTACAATGTTTGTGAGTGCTATAGGCTATAAAACCTCACACTACGATCAAATAGAGCCGAGCAGCGGGTGAAACCGCGTGAGAGTAGCTAGTATACCAAAAATAAATAATTTTATAACTTACTATCTTCGGAATTTTGCAGTTTCAATTTCCTTGGTGCACTATTGGGATTCGGCACTATCGTAGACTTGACCAAGTTCCTGAACCGGCCGATAGTGGGGTCAATGTCCTCAGGGTTGATGATGTCTACCTCTTCGTTGAAGGAGACGTTGCGTTTCTGTTTCTTGGCGATACCGCCCGGCATTGACGCTGATCTTTTTGTGCCAGTTGGGGGCTGGAAGACGTATATACATAATTGGGTAGTTTCCTAGGTCAAAAATAAATTACTTCGACGTTTCAATACAATTAAATATTGAAAAATAACTATACATACTTTTATTCATCGATCAATTGATACACTTAGTTTTAGACATTTTTTAGCTACTTATTAAGAAATAAGTAAGCTTTTTGACGCAAAAATACTATGACATCATAACTCAGTTTTTCATACAAATTTCATAGAAAATTATCGTTTTTGACATTTGGATAAAAGTATTGAATTTGACTAGTTGGAAACTACCGTATTCTAGGTACTGTACGTGAGTATGTCACTGAACTCCTCCTAAACGGCTTAACTAAGTTTTACCAAATTTTTGATATGTATTCAAACAAAAAAGGCTTATCATAGAGAGAGGCACATTCATATAAAGGAATGACAGCGGAAAAGAGAGATGTATTGGTGTGTGAGTGTGTGTGTGTGTGTATGTGTTTGTATGTGTGTATGTGTGTGTGTGTGTGTGTGTGTGTGTGTGTTTGTGTGTGTGTGTAAGAGAGAGAAAATGGGTTAGGCATAGGAGAGTAGATAATCTTATATAATAGATTATAAAGTAGGTAATCTAATATGTTACTAGCAGACCCAGCCACGCGTTGCTGTGGCTAAGGTTCTTGTCATATTACATATGGACAAATAATTAATTTGCAATAAAATAATATTGTGACTTTAAATTGAGATGTAAGCCATCCTATCTTGCAAGTTGGATCAAAATGCACACGCAATGCAAATCAAATTGAAAATCGGTTTAGTAGTTTAGGAGTCCGTCACGGACAAACATGTGACAGGATTTTTTATAAGCTATTCCATTTATCGAGAAAGGCTATAAAAATCATGTTATGACCAATGCGAGTGTTATTTATACGTATTGATTTAAACTCCTTTTTGCTTACCTTCATAACATCGCTGCCATCATCTGTGGATATACCCAGCATGGATATTCTTCTGTTGTGTGCTGTGTTAAATTCTGTTAGATTCTGAAATGTCAACATACATTACTAAGATTTTTTTAAAAAAACGTTGCCATACTTTAGCAATTTCTCTAGTGTCGTGGGTGCCTTTAGAAACATACAATTTCAGAGACACGTCACACACAGACCAGAAACAACAATTAATGGATCACACAAAGAGTTGTTCCGTGCGGGAATCGAAACCGCGACACGTTATGCGTCAGTCAGTTGTCCAGCCACCACGGCAACCGCACAGTCGAATACAATTTATGAACAAATCAATGCGAAAATTGAAACGGCAACACATTTAATGACATGAGGCTGTATGAAGATTTATCACCTCAAGGTATGCAAACGGATTGTTTCCCCAGTCAAAAAAAAAATTCTATGTATAAAACTATAAAAATATTACCTTCATTAATTATTTTACGATATACTTGACATTCGTATTTTTCCTCACGATGTTTACCTTCACCGTATGTCAGTGGTGTGTAAATAATCATAGAAAGTACATATAACTCGAAAAAAGTCACATTGGTACTTGCCAGGCTTCGAACCCACACACTCATGCATGAGAAGCCGGCACCTTAACCTCCGGGCCACCACGAAATCATCACGAGTAATGAATATACTCACATCTAATTCAGTTTGTGTTTCAGGCAGACCGAGTAAGGCACCTTCTTGTTCTGTGTTGGGCAAGTCCTCCATTATACCTCTGGAGTTGCCAGTTGGACGTTCTCTGTATGCACAACATAACTAAATTAACTATATTTTCTAGCTTGCAGCATATTATTATTTTGACATTCGAAGTTACATAAAGTCCCAACAAGCTGAAAATCAGTGATATTATTCAAAACATAATTATAAACAATGTTTAGTAGTTCCCCATAATTCCCGTGTATGGTTTTTTTTATTAAAGGTCTAGAGTAAGAAAAATAGTTTTTGGCGAATTTCAGCAACACGGTAAGTTTTATTATAAAATAACCTTCGATAAAAATTGTAGATCATAAAATTATTTATAAAAATGTATCAATACTTTGTTTCTGAGATATAACGATTCAAAAATTTTTAAAAAAACCATCCACGGTGGGGAACTTTTATTTAATTTTAATGATTTTCAGCTTGTGGGGACTTATTGTAACTTCAGTCTCACTTTTCGGTCTAAATAGGCCAGACTAGCTCTAGGATAAGAAGTAGCCTATGTATTATTCCAGACTATAATCTACCGGGTTTGTGGTCAGCGACGAAGGTTCTTTGCGTGGAACACCCAACAGAAAAATTGACGTGAAGCAATGCTTCCACTGTGTTTCTTCAAGTGAGTGAGTTTACCGGAGGCCCAACCTCCCATCCAATGCCATAGTTTAGTAGTAACATTTTACCCCAGGAGGGTACCATACCATACCAATCATGAACATCCATGCAATAGTTATAAAAGCATACACACTCGAGGATGAACAATAAAACAAATTGAACAGGGTGTAATATGCTTACACCCTGTTAAATTCATATGGGGAGAAATAGTGTTTGAGAGCAAAAAGAAACAGGGTGTTCTAGAGGCTATTAGTGATATCATATTTCTTTCTCCTTCTCCGGCCGATAAGACCCCTACCTGAATATTGTTTAGTACCTTATGTTATTATAATGAAATTTTAAAATTCACAAAAAAGGTTCATCAATATCCTCTTTTATAATGGGGGTAGACAAAATGATTTTGGGAATAATTTGGACCTTAGTAGGATTTATTTTTTAGTAGGATTAAATCACTTTTCATCAAGATCAGGACAGAACATATGCCAAATTAGGCTGTTTTCCTACTTACCTTATGATGTAATTTCTTGTTGAAGCTCCAAAGTGGAAATTGGAATCAATAGGCAGCTGTGTCGGCTTGTTAGCCTCCAAGCGCATTTGTCCAATAAATGTTCCATGAGCTAAAACATAAATTAAGCACCTGTAAGTGCCTATTGCTCTGCGAAAAAATCTTTTCACTCCGAGAAAATATGGGCATTAGTCACTATACTTGCACATTCAAGACTATTTCAAACTTATAATAAGTAATTTTAGGTCTGGTTTTTTTCAACATGCAATAGAAAGAACAACATTATGCTCAGGAACAATAAAGAAGCATAAGTGTACCAGTGTAACACTCGTCTCTGAAACATGTGAGATATAATCCCACACAACATATAACCATATATCCTTAAATTATCATTATGTTACTATCTTCTATTACTGTTTATTTTGCTTTTTCTCTCTATTTATATGCAAAATAAATGCTTTTCACTTACCTACTTTTCTGTCTTTCTTTTAATATAGTGCTGTAAGGTTGAAAACAGGGGCATTGCATACCTAGTTGAAATTCAAGTTCCCAACAAGAATCTTTATGTTATAGTTACTTAAAAGAGTAAATATTATACTTGGAAATAAAAAGTGTTTTTAGTGTTTTAATTTTGCTGCAATTCCTGCTAATTAGGATCTATAGACAATATAAAAACACCAAAATAATGAACTCCGAAATAATGGATATTGCAACAAAATGAATCAGAAATCACTTCATTAATTAGAAGCTTTTATACTTACTGCTGCCTAAGTCAACCAAGAAAGCTCTGTTTAAATGTTTGTGGTAAACAAACGCGGCATGAACCCTCGAACAACTGGCATGGTCAATACAAAAATCATTCATTTGAGGGTTTCTACCAAACAAATAACACTTCTTCTCATCAATCATCAGTTTTTGTATTAATTTATCCCCTTTTAACACGTCCAAGTGCAGTCCTGTCGGTGGCTTTCCAGCCCTAAAAGAATATTAAATAAAATCATGACCGGCGTACTAAAATTTCTGAATACGTGCCACAACAAGAATCATTCAGGTATCTCTTACCAATTAGGCACTTCATAGTGATTAGCCATTGCTACTTTTAGAAGGCCGGCTACAAATGAACAGATTTATTGAACATTAGGATGTGATAAATAATTTTAACACATCGAACGAACCACAACGCGAAATCGTCAAACGTTGTCAAATTTGACAGTAAAGAAATCGAATGACATAACATGGTAACACAATTGTCTATGATTTCATATTTTTAATTCGATATGGGTACCTACATAGACTCGGAATTTTAATTACATTCCAGATTTGACCATTGAGATAGAAAATATATAGAGGCGCCGTGTTATTTTCATTGAGATAGAAAATATATAGAGGCGCCGTGTTATTTTAGAAGTATATATGCTTATACAAATATGAGTGAAATATCGTTTTGTCTCACTCTTTCTAAGGCAATAACTGGATTAGACAAAAGGGACAACAATATTTACGTTGTTGCTTATTATGGCAAAAAATCATTTTGACATTAGCAAAGTTGTAGGTAAGTCATTGACATAGGAAATATATGGACTTGAAATACCTACGAAAAAAAGGTGCCTACCTACAATCCAAAATTTCGCATAAGATGGCTGCCGTTGCTAGGGTTGTGCCGACTAAGTATTTAACGAGTATCGATACAATTTGAGTATAAGACTAGCCAGCTGATTAACGGTATTTTTTATGAGAAATCATCTAATGTCATGTCCGGGCCATTTCGTGACAGACCGTTACTGACTAAAATCAACTCCTGTTCCTACTTTGCCGTCGGCCTAGCTAGAGCCCGGAACCCGGGGTTACATAGGTCTCTTGATTGGCTAATAATTTTCTCAAGTCGAATTTGTATTCATATAATTCTAAGGAAAGCGCCTTAAAAAAAAAAATAGGACTGTGTTTATGAACAGCGTTTAATGGAATGGTGAAATAGAAAAAGATAGTTTTTGTTAAATGTTTAACCGCCGAAATATGGGGCCCCTTAATTGCGTATGTGCAACACCTGTCGGAATTTGTGATGTGCTCGCGCACAATTTCGGCTCGTCTGATTAAGCGATGATATCTTCGAAACTACGTTAGCACAAAATAGATAAGTAGTGAAGTCAATCTTACTGTATGTATCTCACTTTTTATTATTAAGCTTGGTGGTCGCACTGGGATCGCCGCCAACGCCACTCTGTCAATGCCCGGATAATTATAAAACATGATAATTTGAACTTCTACTTATGTAACTAAAACCAAAACCAAAATACTGACGTCTTACTTTAGCCTTGCACAAAACTGAGGAAACATCCATTGCTAAAATAGATTATTTAGGATAATATATGTTGAATTTTGAATGGGAGATAATATCGATACTTTTTGGGAATGGTACGTAACTATGCCATATTGACATATTATTGTAAACAACAATTTTTTACTAAAACTGTCTCACAGACAGAAATAGAAGTAAATATATATACTTTGGCAATAGATTCAAGTATCCGTTACATTTTTTTCTATCTATGTGGATTATTCTAAGTTATATTTGATGAAAACTGTTTACTAACCTATGCAAAGACAATTTAGGTTGATTTTCGTTCTTTTTTGCACCACACTGCACAATACAACACACAGGCATATTGTATTTTTGTTTCACTATATATATTTGAAGTTTAAAAAAATGGTTCTTTGTAATTTACTGGAAAACCGCAATAATTTAAAACATAAACAACCGTTTGACAGCACAACTACCATGAAACTCAGGTACTCTGAGCGCTTAAGATGGCGGACATGGCACTTACCTACAACTTTGCTAATGTCAAAATGATTTGTTGCCATAATAAGCAACAACTTAAATATTGTTGTCCCTTTTGTCTAATACAATTATTGCCTTAGAAAGAGTGAGAAAAAACGATGTTTCATAGTTTGTTTCATATTTGTATAAGCATATATACTTCTAAAATAACACGGCGCCTCTATATATTTTCTATCTCAATGAGGTAAGTGCCATGTCCGCCATCTTAAGCGCTCAAAGTACCTGAGTTTCATGGTAGTTGTGCTGTCAAACGGTTTTAAATTATTGCGGTTTTCCAGTAAATTACAAAGAATATTTTTTTTTAAACTTCAAATATATATAGTGAAACAACAAAACAATATGCATGTGTGTTGTATTGTGCAGTGTGGTACAAAAAAGAATGAAAATCAACCTGAATTGTCTTTGCATAGGTTAGTAAACAGTTTTCATCAAAATATTAGTTAGAATAATCCACATAGATAGAAAAAAATGTTACGGATACTTGAATCTATTGCCAAAGTATATATTTTTACTTTTATTTCCGTCTGTGAGACAGTTTTAGTAAAAAAATGTTTTTTACAATAATATGTCAATATGGCATAGTTACGTACCATTCCACAAAAGTATCGATATAATCCCATTTAAAATTCAACACATTATCCTAAATAATCTATTTTAGCAATGGATGTTTCCTCAGTTTTGTGTAAGACGTCAGTATTTTGGTATTGGTTTTAGTTACATAAGAAGAAGTTCAAATTATCATGTCTTATAATTGGGTAGTGTCCTAGGTCAAAAATAAATTAATTCGACGTTTTAATACAATAAAATATTGAAAAATAACTATACTTTTATTCATCGATCGATCGATACACTAAGTTTTAAATTTTTTTAGCTCAATATTCAGAAATAAGTAAGCTATTTGACGCAAAACTGTTAAGACGTCATACCTCAGTTTTTCATACAAATTTCATAGAAAAGTATCGTTTTTGACATTTGGATAACAGTATTGAATTTGACTAGTTGGAAACTACCATATTATCCGGGCGCGATTGACAGAGCGGAGTTGGCGGCGATCCCAGTGCGACCACCAAGCTTAATAATAAAAAGTGAGATACATACTATAAGATTGACTTCACTACTTATCTATTTTGTGCTAATGTAGTTTCGAAAATATCATCGCTTAATCAGACGCGCCGAAATTGTGCGCGAGCACTTCACAAATTCCCACAGTTTTTGCACATACGCAATTAAGGGGCCCCATATTTCGGCGGATAAACATTTAACAAACACTATCTTTTTCTATTTCACCATTCCATTAAACGCTGTTCATAAACACAGTCCTATTTTTTTTAAAAAGACGCTTTCCGTAGATTTATATGAATACAAATTCGACTTGAGAAAATCATTAGCCAATCAAGAGACCTAGGTAACCCCGGGTTCCGGGCTCTGGCTAGGCCGACGGCAAAGTAGGAATAGGAGTTGATTTTAGTCAGTAACGGTCTGTCACGAAAAGGGCCGGAGATGACATAAGATGATTTCCCATAAAAAATACCGTTAATCAGCTGGCTAATCCCTAAAACTGTACCTACGTAGAACGTATACTCATATTGTATCGATACTCGTTAAATACTTAGTCGGCACAACCCTAGCAACGGCAGCCATCTTATGCGAAATTTTGGATTGTAGGTATGGACCTGTTTTTCGTAGGTATTTCAAGTCCTTATATTTTCTATGTCAATGAGATTTGACAATTACAGTGTTGCAACGTTCTGACACGTATTAAATAGTGACGTTGCGAAATTATTCGATAAAGAATCGAATATTTCTGAATCGATTCCTCTCGTTTATAAATTTACTCTCGTAAACTCTCTCTCTCTCGTTAAGTTTATCGGGAAATAAAATATTTCTGAACCGATAGTTTAGTTTTGACAATTAATTAAGGATCTGAGACTTTTCTTTTGTAATTGTGTGTGAAATTAATAAAAAAATGTGATCATGAAGGAACATGACAAATAAAACAGACATTTTATAAATTGTCGACGTCATCACTATCGCTATCGCTATCGCTGTTACTTTCTGTAACTTTTATTATGAATTGTGTCTGTGATATATTTATTGTCAATAAATTAACATATCTAGCTTACTCATTTTTTCCTCTTCTTTGACAACATGGGATACGCATTCAGACCATTCGGTAGTCGTAATTTTTTGAATGGCTTCCTGGAACTGATTCACTGATTGTTTATCGATTTTGTGTTCATCACTACACTGTTATATGTGGTATCATTATTTCACAAAATGACAGTAGGTCATGTCAAATCAGGAATCGAATTAAAATTCTGACTATAATTTAAGAGTTAAAAAATTTATTTCTATTCAGAAAAGAAATCATCGTTTTTTGATATTGCTATTTACTTAAGTATATTGGCCACAGATTTAAACCTCATCAACTAAATTGCTTGATTCCTTTTTTGTATGATATGATCTGATGCATTTTTTATTATTTTTAAAATAGAATAATATTTTACTGTGGGGTGGTGTGTTTTGTCACGCCCGTGGTCACGCCAGGTTTATATATTTGACACATGCATGAGACGACACGACATGACAAAAATAATAAAATAATATTTATTTATTCTTCACATACAAATTTTTCGCTTTTCGTCGTCCTCGCCACGGTAAAGTTTCGGAGTAGCTAGACGAAATCGTATTCTTTTTGTTAATTTCATTTCAGGTGGTGGGTAGGAACTGTTCGTAGTTAATCGATATATGACATGAATTTGAACGTACATATCTGAAATGTCGGGTCAATAATAAATAATACTTGACCTTGGGCTGCGGCTGGGAAGCGAGGGGAGGGTACAAGGAGAATACTTGTTGGCATGCAGGTAAGAGCAGGTGGTGGGTAAATTACGTTTTCGCTTGACTGTTAACCGTTAAACAGAAACTGTCTGAATGTCGACGAATCATATTGTGGCCCTGAGAAGGGCCTTTTGTTCATATCCGTTGTGATTTGAAAAATCACAACAATGATCTAGAATAGCCGTTTCCTCGGCGGGATGTCAATGGGTTTGCTGGCGTGCCACGGACGCCACTCCCAGGGCAGGGCGATAATCGGCGGTAGCTCCATCCTTTCAGCACTCCGCCGCTTTTCTAGTCGCGTGAGGCGCTGCCTTCTACGCGCCTTGTACAGCTTTTCCCGGATGTATTTGTAAATCCAGCTATCGCACACCGTAACGACCATTCCGGTGGCAGTCATTATTTTATGTTCCTGTGGGTGAGTACAATTCGCTACCTCACCCGGCTAGCCACGGTATCACAAGTAGCGGGTGGCTGACAGACAGATCTGGGTGAATTTCCCGGGAACAAAAATTACGTGCCATCAATGAAAT